ACTGTGAAGCAGAGTGACATGTGTGAGTGAGTGTTATATGTAGGGAGGGAATGCAAGGACAAAGGAGTAGGAGTGGTGAGCAAGGAGAGGTAAGTGAATGGAAGGGAGTGACCAGCCAGTAGGCAGTGTGAGTGAATGGCACTGAGAGTCTTTGCAAGCTGAGCAATGAACGAATGAGCATTGGATCTTGAAAGCACGACTGGATGCATTCTGAGCAGCAAGGCTAAATGCCCAGCCACATGTTTTGACTCAAACAAAAGGCTTTGTGGCTCAGTTGGTTGAGCACCGACATATGCACCAAGAGGTTGCCAGTTCAATTCCCGGTCAGGGCACATGCCCAGGTTATAGGCTTGATCCCCGCTGGGAGTCATACAGGAGGCAGCTGATTGATGTTTCTCTCTCATCAATGTTTCTCTCTCTCTCTCTCTCTCTCTCTCTCTCTCTCTCTCTCTCTCTCCCTTCATCCCTCCCTCCCTCCCTCCCTCCTTCCCTCTCTTTTAGGAAATCAATAAAAACATTTTTTTAAAAAAGGAAGGAAACACATAGCCGAGTTCAGTTTCACTTCCCAGCCCAACAAAATCAAACCAGACTGATGAAAAAAAGTAGGCATGACAGAGGTGAATCCTGGGTTGAGCAAGAAAAGAAAAGCATTTGCTTCCATTTAAAGACACAGCACTGAGCCTCAAGAGGGGCCCAGAAACCAGCTGGCTATAAATCTAACCCAAAATCTTGATTTGGACCTCACTTACCATGGAAAGCAGGCCTGGAGCTGAGTGTCTAAGTTTAAAATTTTCATCTGCAAATGGCCCCCGGTAAATACTGGCAACTCCAGTACCATCTCCCTGAGCAAACAGAAGGGAAGTGTTAGCAACTTGTACGTGCTGGGCCCCCCAAAGGCTGGAATAAGACAGCTGCTGCACCTAGATCCTAGTGGACTTCCTTAAAGTCCACTCTTGTTGGCCACTTTGAGAGCCACACCTCTTTGATCCTATCCCGCAATCAAAGCAAGCCCCTTTCAAGGCACTTGCAGCCCACAAACTGGTCAGGCCTTCTCACAGATTGGGTAAAAGAGGTCACAGTTGGGCCTCTAGAAAGATAGGTTAAGACCCTGGCAAAGTAGGGAACCATACAGTGACCACATACATAATCCTTGCCATTCCTAGAGACTCCCATGCCTGCAGCATATAGAAATTTCCATCTAACTGACTGTTACCCCCTCCCCAAAGTATGTGGGTGGGTGGGCTCTTAGAAGTCTAGAGTGTACAATGTGATACTACCCTCCTGGCCAAAGTTGATTGGTCCAGGGGAGGACTCTAATTTGCCAATAAACCCAGAGGACATATCAGTTACCACATCACTCTCTGTAATCAAACTATCTATTGCTCTCCAGAAGCCAGAGTAGGGAAAATGACAAAATTAATTTTCAGAACAAACAACAGAAAGCAACTTAAATCTTTAACAATAGTGAACTGACCAAATAAATTCACTGTCTATTCATTATGGACTATTAGGTAGCTATCAGAAAAAAATGTTTTGGAAGAAGACTTCATGACAAGGGAAAATTCAGACAATAAGTACAAAAAAATTAAAACATATGTGATCTAAGTCTGTTAAAAATTGTATTTGACACACATACATTTGCAAAGGTAAGACTGGAAACTTTAAACTAAAATGACAAGAGTTTATACCTTGAGAGATGACATTTTATTTTTTGCACTTTTCTTTTACAGCCAGAAAGAAAAACAAGTATGACTAAAATAAACAAATATTCTTGGTTTAACTTTAGAATGTCTTAAATTCTGCTTCTTTTGCCTCTTGCTCATTCTATTTTTAATTATCTAAGGGTGGTTCTGAGCAATTGCTTCTAATACTCAGCCTTCTGGCTGATCAACTATTGTCTAATCCTGGGGCTATCAGCAAGTGATTGGATGTGCCTAGCAATGACCAGTAAAAAGTTGGTCCTGTCCCTGCTAGACCAATATGGCAATAATAGAGCCTATGGTAAGAAAGGAAAAAGGCAGAATAGCTTCGCAGCACTTCTTACCAGCTAACAAAAAAAAAGCACATGGCCACTCTAAGTTCTACTACCATCAGTAGTGGCCAAGGGTTGCAAACTTAATTGCCTATGGAGCAGGTTACATAAATAAGGGAAGCAGATGGTAGGGACTATGGTAAAATGGCAAAGACACACCTTGCCTAAAAGGAGCAGTTATTTAATTCCAACCAATTGTCACTGCATGAGAAACACAAGCCTAGTGCATTTCCCATTATTTAGAGAGAAAACAAAACTCCAGAACTTTTTGGTGAAATTTACCACTTTTACAACATCATACAGATGAAACAAAACATATCTGGAAGCCTGATTTTCCCTAAAATCTGCCACTTTGTAACCTTCCCTAGATAGGAAAGAGAGAGATCTTTAAAAACTCCTAAGTCAATAAATAAGTATACATGTGAAAGAGAAAGAATGTCTCCCAGATACAAGAAAACAGCAACATGGCTACTTAAATGATACTAATAAGAAAGACCATGTATATAAGTGGGTGGGTTTGGACTAAAGTAGGTTTAAGAAAGAAAAAATGGCTCTGGCTGATGTGGCTCAGTTGGTTGAGCATCAACCCATGAACCAAAAGACTGCCAGTTGGATTCCCAGCCAGGGCATGTACCTAGTTACGGGCTCCAGTGGGGGGTGCAGAAGGCAGCTGATTGATGTTTCTATCTCAGATCAATATTTCTCTCTCTCTCTAAAATGAATAAAAACATTTTTTTAAAGAAAAAGAAAAAATGTGGTTTATACAGCAACCTCTAAGGTCAGGAGGAGGGCAGAAGACTTAATATTGGGAACACACACATAATTTCAAAAGAAAGTCATGCTTAATAGAGGACTATTCCATTGGGCTCTCCCAGTGATTAGAGGAAACATCCCTCCAGAATTATCTACCTCTCTTGCTGACTACTTGTCCACTAATCAACTTCTGATTAAAAACTCAGTGTTCCAGGCACTGCGATGCAGGAGTGGAAGGGAAAATGGGACATAAGCACTTAGCTCATTGGAAAGGGACTTACTACTATTTTTTAAAAATGTATTTTTATTGATTTCAGAGAAGAAGGGAGAGGGAGAGAGATATAGAAACATCAATGATGAGAGAGAATCATCAATCAGCTGCCTCCTGCATGCCCCACATTGGGGATGGAGCCCGAAACCCGGGCATATGCCCTGACATCGAACCTTGATCTCCTGGTTCATAGGTTGAAGCTCAACACTGAGCCACACCAGCTGGGCAGGACTTATTACTATTTAGTTAAAATAAATTGCATCTGATTCCTAGCTAAGTTTCATGTAATTAATTAATTTGGAGCTGTCCTGCTTCCTCTACAGGTATGCTGGGAAAGTTCCGTTTCTGGCTCTAAAAGGCTGATCAAAGTGCTGATGTCTGTCATCTAATGGTACAGTGAGTAGTAGCCAGCAACATTCAAGGGCATTCCCATCTCCATTCCCCCGCCCACCCCCTCATCAAGCCTCGGTATTGTTCTCAAGCCTTAAGACTGAGTTCCTGTAGTAAAAACAGTAGACCTAGCAATAACCAACCAAACAAACAAACAAAAACATAAAACAAGTTTATAAGTCCTTGATAGGAAAGAACAGTACTTACATTAACAAAATCTCCACCCTGAATCATGAAATCCTTTATGACTCTGAAACAGAGAACAAAAGATTCTGAGCTACACTCAGGTTTAGAAAAACATTGACTTAAAAAAAAGAAAAGAAAAAGAGAAACATTGACTTGGTCATTGTAATTTAAATCAATAAATCCTTGAGCTCACAAAAACATTCCTTCTCAATATCTAAGAATTATCCTACGGTTATATTTTCCTCTAAAGAGACCAATCCCCCAAGGAAGTAATTCTAAAAGCCCCCAAGATGTTTGCCATGGGCCTTACCTGTGGAAAGTGCTTCCTTTGTATCCTATAGGAACCCCATCTTTTCTATAACCAAAAAGAAAGATTGGGAATGAGGTCGGGTACCCATGGGCCTTTCCAGTGTACCACACATTTGAACTCTCCTAAAGATGGCAGGGACCAGAGAGAGGAAGGCAAATGAATTGAAGATAGACCCGCGGGGGATTACCTTCAATCACTGTCACCAGCAATCATTCAAGGCCTTCGTGGTTCCCCAATACCCTCACTGCAGCCCCAGGACACCCCTCAGGAGCAAGCAGATAAGGCAACCACGTCTGAGACTGACCTGAATTCCCCAGTGCAGAACTGCCTGAAAGGGAAAAGAGTGAAGGGCTCGGTCACCATGACATCACAGCTGCGAGCGCCCCTCCCCTCCGCGGGGAGAGCACCGACACGGTCGCCAGCAAGCCCGCCCATCGGCCAGCCAGACGTGCAGACCCCCAGACATACAGATTAACAACATAAACTGACATGGGACAGTCAAAACAGAGGAATCAGATCCACTCCGCAGGCCGCGTTCTGGTTCGGTTTCTCAGGCAGAGCTGGAGTTCATTCTCACCTAAAGTTCTCGGCTGTCTTAGGCACAACGTCTGCAAAGAGCTCGATCTTCATCCGGCCAACTTCCTGCAACCGGCGGGAGACGGTCAGGAGGCCTCGCGGAGCAGGGACCACGAAGGGCCGAGCCCTCCCTCCCGCAGGTACCAGATCTCTCCGCCTCCTCAGCCTATCTTTTCGTTCCGCCCAGACCTACCACACGCGGGGCGCTGGGAAGGGCAAGACTCATCCTACTCCTCTCAGCACGCCCCGCAGTTCGGTAGGTTCTGGCACAAATTCACTTTCTGGCTTCCCGAGCCCGCTATCCCCAGGCGGGTGGGTTCTGCCTGCCTGGCCCGGTGCCGTTTCCTTTCGGCGAAGGACCGGTGGCTCCCTGGACCTCACCTGGCCGCCAATGCTGACATCAAAGAACACCACGGGGTTGACAGGGCTTGAATTTGCCACCGCCATGGCTCTGACCCGGAAGCAGAAGTCGGAAGCTTGGGCTTCCGGCGAATCTCATCCCAACTCCGCGGGGTGGGTATCCGGAGCAAGCGCGGGAAGAGCCGCTGGAGACTGGGCCCCGCCCCCTGGAGCCCCGCCCCGCCCCCTCCGCGGAGGACTCACGGGTTTCCTCCGGGAAATTGGGTGATGCTGCGGTGGCGGCGGGTTCATTCTGTCCTGACCATAAGACTTTCTCTCTCTCTCTCTCTCTCTCTCTCTCTCTCTCTCTCTAGATATATTTTATTGATTTTTTTACAGAGAGGAAGGGAGAGGGATAGAGAGTTAGAAACATCAATGAGAGAGAAACATCGATCAGCTGCCTCCTGCACACTCCCCACTGGGGATGTGCCCACAACCAAGGTACATGCCCTTGACCGGAATCGAACCTGGGACCCTTGAGTCCGCAGGCCCACGCTCGATCCACTGAGCCAAACCGGCCAGGGCACTTCCACTATCTCTTAGTTCACTTGACTCTCCCCGGAGCCGGGGATGAGGAACGGGGTGGGGAGAGAGGGGGACGCGGGTGCAAATGGAGGAGGTAGGAAGAGGAGGAATGCCTGGGCCTTTTTTTGCTCCAAGTCGGTGGGCATCCCACACACATGGCTACAGATTATTCTCGCTCAGGCTAGGGCGTTGGACTAGGCAGTCTCCAGGGTCCTTGGCCCTTGCGGCTAAGATATCGGCACCATCACACGTGTTGCTTCTTGCCCCTGCCCACACTACTCTGCCGGCCCCAGGAAGGCAGGAACTCTGTTCATCCTCAGCACTCAGAGCAGCCAGGCAAGCAAGGTGTGCTTAGCAAACACTCCCCTTCCCTGAAGGCAGTAAACTAGAATGCTTGTTCCCAGTTCTGCCACAGCTTCCATTTTTGTCACTTCCAATTCATTCTCAGCAGAGTAGCTAGAGCTTTTAAAAAAAGTCTGCTAAATCACTCCTGGCTTCCCGTATTTAGACTAAAATCCAATTCCTTACGTACGAAGGCCTACATTAGATTATCTGGCTGCCACCGACTGGGCCTCATTTTGTATTATTTGTCCACAGTTGCTATACTCTGGCCTTTCTGTTCCTCAAAGTCATGGGGTGGATACAGTCATTCCCCCGCTTATCTTGAGTTTTCACCTTCCTCCTTTCAGTTATTTGCTATCAACTACAGTCTGACGGTTGATCTGATAACCAAGACACCTATTAAGTGACTAACGGGCAGGTAGTATATACAGTGTGAATCATACATTAAAAATAGTAAATGAGCCCTGCCTGGTTTGGCTCAGTGGATAGAACGTTGGCCTGTGGACTGGGGGGTCCCAGGTTCGACTCCAGTCAAGGGTACATGCCTGGGTTGCAGTGCCATACAGAGTTCAGTACCATTCATGGTTTCAGGCATCCACTGGGGGTTTTGGAATGTATCCACCTCGGATAAGGGGAACTATTGTCCTCTCTTAAGGACCTGGTACTAGCTGTTAACTGTCTTTAATACTTTTCTAGATCCTAGTGGGGGCGGGGAGTGCTCCTTGTAGTTTACGTCTCACTTAGATGTCACTTAGATGGGAACGCTGCATCCAATCTAAAGTGGTCTTCAGTCACTTATACAAATACAGCAGTGATTTATTTTCTTCATACCACTTACCATCCAAAATTATATGGTCAGTTTCTCCACCTCACCCCCTGCCACACAAGCATACCTTCCAACCTAATAGCATATTAACTATAAAAGCAGAGACTCTCCTTGTCTGTCTTCACAGGTGTGCCTAGTGTCTACTATTGAATAGTAGACTTTCACAGCAGCATAATCTTTAAATAGTGAAAAAGTAGGAATTCAATAAATGGATTCAATGAATTGAGTGAAAGAAGGTGAACGTGGGCAAGATTTGGAGTCAGAGCATGCATTCATACCTATTATTTCCTATATCCTTTGATCATCCTTTTTAGTTGGTGGTCCGAGGAGGCAGGGGTTGCACATAAAAATTCAGTATGTCTCAACTTATGGGGTCTCTTTTATTTCTGTGTTTTTCCCTCCCCCTTTCTATCTCCAATTGAAGATGGAGAAGGAGGGAAAAGGGGAAGAAGCAGCAGCAGAAATCACCCTTCAGTATAGTTTTATACTAAGTATTTTTAATATATTTTTATTGATTTCAGAGAGGAAGGGAGAGGGAGAGAGAGAAAAAAAATCAATGATGAGAGAGAATTATTGATCAGCTGCCTCCTGCACACCCCACACAAGGATTTGAGCCCAAAACCTGGGCATATGCCCTGACCGGGAATCAAACCATGACCTCCTGGTTCATAGATCAATGCTCAACCTCTGAGCCACACTGGCTGGGCTATACCAAGTATTTTAGAATAAAAATTTTAATTGATAATATCCAATGTTGATGAGACTGTAGAAAAACTAGTACACTCAAACTGCAAGTAAAAATAAATGATCTCTAGCACTTATTAAGCAATTATTCAGTGCAAAATACACACTTCATTTCATTTGGTCCTCACAACCCTATGAGATAGGAACTACTATTGTTCCATTTTATGCATCAAGAAATTGAAGCTTGCCTGGCAGTGTGGTTCAGAGGTTGAGCATCAACCTTGGAACCAGGAGGTCACTGGTTCGATTACCGGTCAGAGCACATGCTTGGGTTGTGGGCTTGGTCCCCAATTGGGGGGCGTGCAGGAGGAGGCAGCCGGTCAATGATTCTCTCTCATCATTGATGTTTCTGTCTGTCTCCCTCTCTCTCTTCCTCTCTGAACTCAATAAAAAAAATTAATAAATAAAATTGAGGCTTAAAGAAGTTGACTGTAGAAACAGTATATTGATACAATCTTTTTTAAAAAAGCAATGAAGATAAGTGTTGTACCAAAACTATATAACATTTATATCCTTTAACCCAATTATGCCAACCTTGTAAATTTATTTTCTGGATTAACTTAAGAGAAGAAAGGGGCTAACTTCACAAAGACTTTCACTGCAGCATAATCTTTAAATAGTGAAAAAGTAGAAACAACTTGGATGTCAAATAACAAGAAAATTTATAGACCATGAACATGATAGAATATCCTGGCTATTGAAAGAATAATTGTAAAGTGTTTAAATATGGGAGGATGTTTTATGGTATATTAAATTAAAAATAAGACTATGAAAATATAATATAATAACCATTAAGATACATGAATAAGAACCAGAAGGGAATAACTCCAAAATGAAAATAGTAGTGTTAAGAATGTGGGATTATAAAAGGGTTTTTTCTTCTTTTTAAAATACTTGCTTTAATGTGATTACATTGTTTTTAATTTTAAAAAGTAAGGAAATACCCATGAAAATAGGAAAGAATGCCGAATTAGCCATGTTTGTGTTCTGCTGAATAGAAACCTAATTAAACCACCAACTTAAGTCACTATATTGATCAATATCAAACAAACTTGAAAAATCCATATTTAGAACTGGTTTAATGAATTTATCAGCAATTTTGAAGATTCCTGGTTGATGTCCAGCAGGAAATCTATTATAACTTCTCCATGTCATGTTCCACCTTCATGTCCAAGCTTTAAGTGAGCAGCGTTGATGAGTCTAGTTTTAGACATCAGTGATTTTATAGTTCTGACTTTTGGACTTGTTCGTAGATGTGATGTATCTTTTTTCAGAGAATCCACAGTGTATGTATGTATCCAGCTTCAGAATTCTGTGAACAGGAAAGAGACTCGAGGGACTTGGGGTTTGCCACTGCTTCTTCTGACTTGTGTTCTTTAGTTTCTTAAAGACTTCCAACTGACTCTACCAAACCTGTTACAGAAAAACTAAGAAAGGCCACCTGTGAGAACTTTAGGTGCATGGGGTCTCTTGACAGCATTTTGGGGTAACAGGGATAAGGCTTCAATAGGATTTCAGTTTTGACAATTGTCAAACACAAAGACAGCCGAATAAGATTACCTTTAATTTATGTTTATGGATTATCTTCTACCGTGAGTCAGGATTCTATTAGGTGTGGGGGTGAAGCAGTGGTGAGGAGAGAAGGAACTGGAAGGTTTAAATACTATATATAGAGGAAGTTACCCCTAAATTCGGTGTTTTCTCAAGCCAACAACTCACGACTGGTTAGTCAGCCATGACTCTCAGTCACAGATTGTCTTGACTTTACTAACCTGGAGTTTGGTAGGGGCAAGATTTTATTCAATGGGTCATATTCAGAGATGCCAGTCAGTATTGTTTCCTAAAAGACAAGAAAGCATTAACTTAAAATTTGTAATGATAAACCATTGGCACTATGACCCTAGAACTATGCTTTGTATATATACTAGAGGCTCGATGCACGAAATTCGTACAAGAGTAGGCCTTCCCAGCCACAGCGGCTGCCTGGACCCCTCCTTCCTTCGACCCCTCCCTCCCTCACAGCTGCCTCAATCCGTGGCTGCAGCCCTGGCTTCATCCAGAAGGTCGTCCGGAAGGACGTCTGGTCTAATTAGCATACTACGCTTTTATTATTATAGATTTTTTTTTTGTTAAAAATGTAATCTCCTCACCTCACACCTGTTCGACAAGAGGTGGTAAATGCTGATGAGGATGTGGAGAAAAAGGAACCCTCGTGCACTATTTGTAGGAATATAAATTGGGGTAGCTACTATGGAAAACAGTTTGGAGGTTCCTCAAAAAATTAAAAATAGCCCTAGCTTGTTTGGCTCAGTAGATAGAGCACCAGCCTGCAGACTGAAGGGTCCCGAGTTCGATTCCGGTCAAGGGCACTGCCCGTGTTACGGGCTTGATCCCCAGTGTGGGGTGTGCAGAAGGCAGCCTATCAATGATTTTCTCTCACCGATGTTTCTATCTCTCCCTCTCCCTTCCTCTCTAAAAATCAATAAAAAATTTTTTTAAAAAATTAAAAATAAAACTATATGACCCAGCAATTCCACTCTGGGTATTTATCCAAAGGAATCAAAATCACTACCCTGAAGACACATCTGCACTGCATGTTAAGTGCAGCATTATTTACAATAGCCAAGACATGAAAGCCACCAAGTATCCATTATGGATCAATTAATAAAGAAATTGTTAAGCACACAAACACACACAATGTGGAATACTATCCAGCCATAAAAAAGAAGGAAATCCTGCCATTTGTGATAACATGGGTAGACTTTAAGGACATTATGCTAAGTGGAATAAGTCAGAGAAAAACAAATACCATGTGATCTCACTTGTATGTGAAATCTCATGAACAAACTCACAGCAACAGAGATAAGATCTGTGGATGCTAGAGGTAGGGGGTGGGGGAATTAGGTAAAGATGGTCAAAAGGTACACACTTGCAGTTACATGATAAATTCTGGGATGTAATGTACAACATGATGACTATAGTTAACAATACTGTATATTTGAAAGTTGTTAAGAGAGTAGATCTTAAAGTTTTCATGATTAGGAATAATATTATAAGTACCCTGGGAAGAAACATATAACCTAAGATACAAGCCAGGGAAGAAAGCAAGCAAGTCTTTGTTCTGGATTTAAAATGCAACTCAGCTCATTGAAATTCCTCTTGCTGAGTCGCTCACCAACCAAGACACTGGACCTTGTCTGAACCTATACTACCTGTCTGCTTGGATTTTTGTAACATAATTGCTTTTATCTGACTCAGATGTTTTCCTTAGGTTTGACTTCTTGCCAGACCAGACTAGCTTCACTTTACCTCTCTGAACCTCAGATTTGCTCGTCTCTCAGATTGGACTGGAACTATACATGGCAAACAGGGTTGTCGAGAACGAGGCATACATGTGAAGACATTGAACATTAATTCATTCCCAAGTATTTATGGAGCACCTGTGCATAGATACAATTACAGATAAGATACAATCTTTGATCCAGGATCTCATCGCTGAGTTGATGAGCTGGAGAAGAAAAGGGCAATGACAAGGGAGTGTGTTAAGGAAGAAGTTATGAGGCAGGCACACCTTGCCCTGGGACACACAGAAGGAGAGTGTTTAGTAAAAGCTGATCCAATAAAGAGCAAAGCTGGCCAAGAACAGACTCAGAGGCTGCTGCCCTGGTGTGCAGGCAATGGGCCTCTCTACCACAGTCCACCATGAGGCCAAGTTCAGGCGACAGCCATATAAAGAAGATGAAGGGAAGAGAGAGCAGAGCAACCGTAACAACCTAAACTTCATATCAAACATCTACCAGGAAGCTCATATCTTACCTCTCCTCTGCAAGTCTGGATGCTTCTTATAATGCGTTCTAAGAGGCCAACCTGTTCTGTGAGCTGGAGACTGTTTTCCTGTAATTGCTTATTTTCTTTATCCAGGAAAAGTACTCTAAGAATGGGATAAATCAGAGGCATGACTTAAAATTTCTACATTATTATTAAAAACTATGTCCCACTTCCCACTAGCTCTGGGTCTTAGCCCACTGTCCAGATTTTAGAACCAACATACCAAGTGAAAATTAATAAGCTTCTGGCCTGTACATAGTTATTCAATACCTACTGAGAGCAGAGACATACTATGTGCAAGAGAACGAAAGGCATAGTTCTAGCCCTTGAGTCACATCAAGAAGGATATGATCCCATTTAGGAGTGGAACTGAAAGAGGAGACTCTGCATCCCTTCAAAGACAGTAACTACACAGCCTGCATCTGGTTTGATCTCATGCAGTCATCCCATACATTAGTAGCAGCAGCAGCCATTTACTGAGTACTTACCATGTACTTAGGCACTGGAACCTATCCACACAGAAAGCACTTCAAACTTTTCATGTATTCCTATATAATAAAAGCCTAATATGCTAAGTGTCTGGTCGGCCAGTCATCCATTCAACCAATCAAAGCATAATATGCTAATGATATGCTAAGGCAGCTCAACTGCTTACTATGACGTGCACTGACTACCAGGGGGCAGATGCTCCAACTGGTAGGTTAGCTTGCTGCTGGGGTCCATCCAATCAGGACTGAGAAAGACCGGCCAGACACTCACTGGAGCTCTCCCGCGTCCCTTCCCGGCCCCGATTGTACACCTGTGGGGTCCCTCGGCCTGGCCTGCGCCCTCTCAGTGCACAAATTCATGCACCGGGCCTCAATTAGCTCATATAATCATCACAACAACGTCACAAGATATTGTTATGAAGCCTATTTTACAGGTGATGAAACTGAAGCTCAGAGAGGGGACAGTAATTTGTGTAAGAAGATAAAACTAGAAAGTAATAGAGCTGGGATGCCAACCCAGAATTTTCAAACTTGTAAAGCCCAAGGTCCTCACCCCTTTGCCAGGCCCACTCAGCAGGGCTGCAGTTTATACAGGACACATGAGAGTGCAATCGTTTTAATCAGAGGTTTATGTTTGAGTTTTGCCACTTACTAGCTGTGCGACCAGGGCAAATTACTAAATATGAGCCTGTTTCCTCATCTGTACAATGAGGAAAACTCCCGTAGAGACGCTTACTCTAAGGAAAACATAAGTCAAGTCCAGGTGACCAAATGTGTCTTCAGGAGGGCAAGACAGGGACACTATTTTATTTTATTTTTTAAAATATATTTTGATTTTTTACAGAGAGGAAGGGAGAGAGATAGAGTTAGAAACATCGATCAGCTGCCTCCTGCACACCTCCTACTGGGGATGTGCCCGCAACCAAGGTACATGCCCTTGACTGGAATCGAACCTGGGACCTTTCAATCTGCAGGCCAACGCTCTATCCACTGAGCCAAACCGGTTAGGGCAAGACAGGGACATTATTAATGGGGAGACACAGCAAGAGGAATTTCAGTGAGCTGAGTTGCATTTTATTATTATTTTTTTAAATATATTTTATTGATTTCTTTACAGAGAGGAAGGGAGAGAGATAGAGAGTTAGAAACATCGATGAGAGAGAAACATCGATCAGCCTCCTCCTGCACATCCCCCACTGGGGATGCGCCCGCAACCCAGGTACATGCCCTTGACCGGAATCGAACCTGGGACCTTTCAGTCCGCAGGCCGACGCTCTATCCACTGAGCCAAACCGGTTTTGGCTGAATTGCATTTTAAAGAGTCAATTGTGTTGAGATGGTCAGAAGCAAGGGTATAGTTTGAGAAGGGCAATAAATTATGTGGAATATATAAAAGGGGGTAAATAGACAGTAAAAGATCATCAGAGCTTCTCCATGCCTGCCTGGAGCAGCATGTATCCATATCAGTGGAAAGGAAAGTTCTAGTTTGCTTGGCAGATTTCTCCTCAGGCTGCAGTGCCGTGAGGTCTGGTATCAGGCTGCCCTGACACTGACTAAACTGGGTGAGTTCCCTAACCAATCTGGACCTCAGCTTCTCACCCATAAAATAGGTTATAACAGTGATTTGGCATTGGTATGAAGACAAAATAAATATATTTAGAGATAGCTTTGTACAGTGCCTAGCATATAGCAAATGCTCAAAAAAGTGTTAATTATTATAGGTACTATTGGTGATACTGTCAAGATCAACCCACTCTCTTTGCTCTGATTCTGTGCTCTGAGGAAACTTTTGGTAGTAATTAAAGTTTCCTATAGAGGAGAGAATGCTTGAGCTAGCTGATCTGTGAATTCTTATCTGCTGAGAATATCCTCCTCACAAATGAATACATTGGTAGCCTGTGAGTTTCATGAATTTAAGTTACTAGTGTGAGCCCGTTTCTCTCTTGGTCTACCTTGATTCCATAGGTATCAAATGATAAAAATGAGTGTCAACACACACAAAGTGGTAGGCCAGAATGAGCATAGTGGGTCCTCAGGAGGCAATGCCATCATGAATGAGCCTACCTGAATGGCCAGCCCACCTTCTCCATGATATTTTTCTCTGTGGTTTCACAACTTCTGCCCCTTGTATGAACTGCTCAAAACAGCAGACAGCAGAGCAACAGTGATGAGATAGGACATAAGCTCAAAGGACAGTCTCAGGAAGCATCTCTCTGTTGAGGGAGAAACATCTGCTTTGGAGTTCACTGGCAACCGTGGCAGGACCACACCCACCTGTGCTGAACAGACGATATCGTGCATTTGTCGTCATGGATCAATTTTTCTTGCTCCATGAGCTGCTCCAGAAGCTTCCTATTTTCTAGGAGCAGGTTATCATTTTGGGCAGTGACCTGGTCCTGGAATGCCTTCTCCTATGAGTAAAAGCAAAAGCCCCCTCATTACCACAGGAGGAAAAATGATCAGTTTAAGAACATCAGCCTGGTTATAACTCCGATAGCAAATTTCCCTTATTTACTTTTTCTCCCTTGTGGTCTAGGCTGTTTTCACCTTTTTGCTGACATTTTCAGCTAGATTGTTCTATATATTTTGGGTACTTATGTCATGTATTTTGTTTGGATATTTACTCATTCTTTTGGGTTATCTGAGCACTCAACTTCTAATAAGGTCCCAATGATCTCAACTATATTCTAACCACATGAATGTCAAATCACAGACAAATACAACTGAATTCTTTGAAGCTCCAGATTGAAAAAAAATTCCCCATAATGGATTTCCACTTGCTTTGTAGTTATAGTATTTTTAAGGCAAAGAGAGGAAGATGGGAATTCAGACACCTGACTTGGCAACTGGTATCAGGATCTTAGTTGGGTTGGCAAGTCAAGCATGTGAGCCAGGCACGAATAGGATTCCTGCAGTGAGGGTGCTGAAATGATCTCTAGCTGGGCTCCATGCTTCATTTTCTACCAATGATTTCCCTGAAAACAATAGCTAGTGCAGTAGCTAAAACGAAAAAGGAGTATTTTTTGTGAAAAAAGCACTAACATTCTTTTTTAAAAAATATATATTTTATTGATTTTTTACAGAGAGGAAGGGAGAGAGAGAGTTAGAAACACCGATGAGAGAGAAACATCGATCAGCTGCCTCCTGCACATCTGCTACTGGGGATGTGCCCGCAACCAAGGTACATGCCCTTGACCGGAATCGAACCTGGGACCTTTCAGTCCGCAGGCCGACTCTCTATCCACTGAGCCAAACCGATTTCAGCTACACTAACATTCTTATAGTGAGTCAGTAGATATTAGTAAATATCTGTTGTTGAAGACTTTAGGAGCTCAAAAGTGTAAAAGTTCCCTTCTCATTTCACCAGTTACAGTGAATAGTAGCAAGGCCCTCGCCAGTTTGGCTCAGTGGATAGAGTGTCAGCCCAGGTTCAATTTCGGTTAGGCACATACCTCGGTCGGTTGCAGGCTCCATCCTGGCCCTGGCCGAGGTGCGTGCAAGAGGCAACCAATTGATGACACATCAATGTTTCTCTCTCTGCGTCTCTCCCCCTCACTTCCACTCTCTCTAAAAATCAATGGAAAAATATCCTTGGTGAGGATTAACAACAACAAAATAGTAGCAGGCAAGAGCTTTCACCTTTTCATGTGTGTTCCTCACCTGCCAAGGGTGGAGGAAGTGGGGGTAGGAGAAGAATGACCTCTGGCAGAGGGGTGAATCACAGATTTAAGAGGGGTAAGTTTCTTTAAAATAATATACTAATATAGAACATTCAGAAAAAACTGTCCATATATGTGGAATCTTAAATAAAAAACAAACAAACAAAAAACAGAAAACAAATTGGTGGTTGCCAGAGACAAGGGGGGAAGTGGGCAAAATGGGTGAAGGAAGTCAAAAGGAACAAAGTTCCAGTTATAAATAAATGAGCCATGGAGATGCAATGTCTGGCATGGTGACTATAGTTAACAATATTACATTTTATATTTGAAAGTTGCTAAGAGTACATTTTAAAAAGTTCTTATCACGCCGAAACCGGTTTGGCTCAGTGGATAGAGCGTCGGCCTGCGGACTGAAAGGTCCCAGGTTCGATTCCGGTCAAGGGCATGTACCTGGGTTGCGGGCACATCCCCAGTAGGAGATGTGCAGGAGGCGGCTGATCGATGTTTCTCTCTCATCGATGTTTCTAACTCTCTATCTCTCTCCCTTCCTCTCTGTAAAAAATCAATAAAATATATTAAAAAAAAAAGTTCTTATCACAAAAAAATGCATAACGATGTATGGTGCTGGATGTTAGCTAGACTTATTGTGGGGATCATTTTGTAATATATACAAATACAGAATCATTATGTTGTATACCTGAAACGAATATAATGTTATGTCAATTATATCTCAAAAAAAAGAAAGAAAAGGAAAAAACTGTCCATCAGAGAGTTATAAAGAAGGAGATTATATTATGTTCTGAAACAAACCAGATTTTAGTCTTTCATCCAGAACCCTTCAATGTCTAACAGTAGTCTCCCCTGATATTATTTAAATACATTTATGGTTAGGATTAAGAATAGAAGGAGCCATCCCAAAATAATACTCTATGCAGCCACAACTGGATTAGTAAGGACATTGAGTGGGGCAGGCTACTGACACCCTGTCCTTTGGAAATACCATACTTCTTTGAACCAAAAAAATCAGGACACTTGCTCCAATAATAGGGTAAAATATTTGGGGACATCTGGTTTGGATGGTCACAACAGTCAGAGGACTCAACTGGTTCACTGTATATAGAGAAGGCTGAAAAATTAAGCCCAAAAAGGTGACATTATTTTCTGGACATTTGGTGCTTAGAAAGTGAGCCCAGCTTTTTAATGCTCAGGGCTCTGGTCCATGGGCCGTAAAATAAGTAAACTCTAGACCAGGTTTGTACCACTGTGGGTCTTCTCTGGGTGATTTCCAATTCTAGTAACAAGTTCTCTTGCGAACTGTGCACCCACTGATTAACATGTGCCCAAGAGATTTTACACCAAAAAGAAGCCTACAAAAATCTATATGGGCCAGGTACCACTTTAGGCATTTCATATTTTAATCCTGGTGAGGGAGGGATATATTTCCCCCACTTCACAGATGAGGAAAATGAAGGGGAAACATTACTGGCAGAGTCCATTGCTCTCCATTTTGAATTTATGTAGTTTAGTGATCTCAAGACCATTCTGCCTTGGATTCTATCCACCTGCCCCATGTCCTCCCTACCCACACACCAGCAAGTCGTAATGGCAATAAGGCAAACATAAGGAAACCATGGGTATTTAGAAATAAGCTTGTAGGCACTAATTGAGGATTGATAAAGGAATAGGGATGACCTAGTTTCACAGCCATTTAAAACTAACGGGAGTTTGAGGCAAATGAGGGTTTATAGAAATTAGGAAGGAATGAGTTACTGAAGGTGTTTCGGCACTCTTTGCTGACGGGTGTTTAAGAAAATATATTTTCACTTGAAGGCAAGACACAGTTATAAGCAGGCAGTGCAGACGATTTTCAGTGTCCAGTTTGAACATCACTATGAGTCTTAAATTCCTTTTTGGCAGAGTTTGAACAGTTATTGAAAGAAGGTGCAAAGAAAAGACATGAACACATGGGCTATGAAGAGGCCACAAATAAATTCTTTTAAATGAGGGGGTTTCCCATGACTGACCACCAGCACCATCAGTGAGCTCGTCACCTTTTTCACTCTCACCTTTTCTAATTTTTGCCGCAGTATTCCAATGTCATTTTCAAGTAGTTTAATTCTCTCGTCTCGAAGCTCTACTTCGTGACCGAAACGACTCTTGACTCTGTGAAGCTTGGTTTTGTGATGATAATATTTTTTATTATAGTTTCTATAAAAATAAATTTGAAAACAGGCACACTTGAACACAGTGGAATTTTATTTTGCCTCCTCAATGTGCACCTCTCTTGGGTTTCCTCTTCTTGCTTTGTCAGGGCCTGGCACCAGACAGGGCTACTTGTCCTGCCTCAGCTCGGCAGTACTTTTTGCCCTCAAGTAGGGGAATGGACCCAGAGAACACCAGCTTTTATTCATCACCATGGACTCAAGTCTCTGGCTTATCTTGGTCTTGAGCTGATGAGTGTAAGCTATGTTTACAAGTTTAATTTTGGAAACTCCTTGACTTCTGATCCCTGCTCCACTGATTCAGTCATCAATTTTAAATTTCCTAGTTCTTAGCTATGCCCTTGTGTAGTAATATAACCCACTTCAATATTGTCTATTTTCCAGATAACTAGGTCTGCTCTCAGTCCTTACCTTGAGTCTGGACTTTTAAATGCAAATTCTATATAAGTCTCTGCTCTGCTCAAGACTTTTATTCTGATTCTGACATAAATCTTACCGCCAATAAGCACAGGAAAAAATGTTCAACATTATTAGCTATTAAGGAAATGCAAATGAAAACTACAATGAAATATAACTTCACAGCCACTAGGATGGAAAGATAAAAAAGAAAGATAATAACAAGTGCTGACAAGGATGTGGAAAAATTGGAACTCTCATACACTGATATTAGGAATATCAAATGGTACAGCCTCTTTGGACAAAGCCTGGCAGTTCCTCAAATGAGTAAATATAGAGCCATATGACCCAGCAGTTCCACTCCTAGAGAAAGTCTAAGAAAATGAAAACATATGGCCCAGCTGGTGTGGCTCAGTTGGTTGAGCATCTTCACATGCACTAAGAGGTCACTGGTTCAATTCCCAGTCGAGGCTCATGCCCAGGTTGTGGGCTCAATCCCCAGTAGGGGACGCACAGAAGGCAGCGTATTGATGTTTTTCTTTCTCATCAATGTTTCTCTCTCTCTCTCTCTCTAAAAACATATTTTTTTAAAAAGAAAAGAAAACATGTGGATAAAAACGTGTATATGAATGTTCATAGTAACACTATTCGCAAAATCCAATAGGTGGAAACAACCCACATTTCCACCAACTGATGAATAAATAAACAAGATATGGTGTGTACATATAATGGAATATTATTCAGCCTTAAAAAGAAAATTTTGCCTGGCCAGTGTGGTTCAGTGGTTGAGCGTCGACCCATGAACCAGAAGGTCATGGTTCGATTCCTGGTCAGGGCACATGCCTGGGTTGTGGGCTTGATCCCCAGTAGGGGGATGCAGGAGGCAGCCGATCAATGATTCTCTCTCATCACTGATGTTTCTATCGCTCTCTTCCTCTCTGAAATCAATAAAAATACATTTTTCTTAAAGAAAGGAAAATTTGATACATGCTACATTATAGAAAATTTGGAAATCCAACTTCCAATATGATCAGTATTATAATACTGTTGTATTTCCTGTTAGTCTTTTTGTAAGCATCTTTTGCTTAAACATAGTCTACATTGAAATTTTTATCTTATGCTCTTGTCATTGATTATATCATAATTATTTTCCCATGCTATCTAGTCTTCATAGCCACCATCTCTTACAGTTATAATATGTTTCATGAATGTATTATACTAGACCTAACTAGTTCCTATTGCTGGATGTTCAGGTTTCTTCCTGTAAGTGTTATGCATGGTCTGAAGAATATGTTGATGCAGTACAAGTGAGGGCTTAGCCCTTCCCTTGCCGTTGCTGGCTCGATGTTTGGCACACCTCTGGGTTTGGTCAGAAGTTCTGTTGGCCAACTTGCCTGTTGAACATGTGCTTTGTTAACTACTAACACTTGAGGCAGCACAATACTGATGCTCTAAAATTTAGGGACAGCTTTTAGCTCATGTTTAAGTAAAACCAGATGGTCTTTCTATTATTTTTACCTCAAAGCAGCAAGGAATTTGTTCCTCTGGAAGAGTGGTTGGGAAAACATGGAAAAAATGAGCATTGTCTGTAAAGGTCAGGACTGGGGGACCAGGGGGATGAAAACAGAAATGAACCTAGAGGGTTTTTGTTGTTGATGGGAATTTTTTTTTTTGTTTTTGTATTTTTTGAACCTAGAGTTTTGACAGATCCTTCCATTTTCATTCCAAAAGCTGTAGTTTTCAGCCTGCATGCACATCAGCATCACATGGGGAAGCTTTTAGCAGAATATTAATCCCTAAGCCTTATCTGAAGATAATGCTTTCATTAATCTATGTTGGGGCCCAGGCATATGCAGCTAGGGTTAGGATCCACTGGACAAATAACATGGAAAAATATTCAGCCTCACTGCCCATCAAAGAAATTAAAAATAAAATAATAATGAAGTAATTTATGAGAATGTAAGCATTAAAATTCATAGCACATGTTAAGCAAAAGAAGTTCAGACACAAAAGATTACATGCAGTACGATTCCTCCTAGATGAAGTTTTAGGAGAGACAGAAACCGGAAGAGTGAATGCCTGGGAGTGGGTGGGGGAGCAGGAGATACAGGTCGACTGCAAAAAAGTTGGAGAGAACTTTAAGGGGTAATGGAAATATTCTGTATCTTGACTGAAGTAGTGGTTATGTCGGTGTATACATTTGTGGAAACTCATCAAGTTGTACATTTGAAATCTGTGCATTTTTATAAGTAAGTTATACCTCAATTTAAAAAAAGAATATTGCAAAAATTTCATCAATGGTAGCACCCAATACTAATGAGGATGTGGTAAAATTGCTTCTCTTATATAATGATGGCAAAATTTTGGTAGGATGCTTCTGAATGTTTGTCAAGCTGTTATTACAGCTTTTTGACCAGTAATTCCATATCTGGGAATATATTCTATAAAAATTAATTTTTAAAAAAAATATATTTTATTGATTTTTTACAGAGAGAAAGGGAGAGGGATAGAGAGTTAGAAACATCGATGAGAGAGAAACATCGACCAGCCGCCTCCTGCACACCTCCCACTGGGGATGTGCCCACAACCAAGGTACATGCCCTTGACCGGAATCGAACCCGGGACCCTTGAGTCTGAAAGCCGATGCTCTATCCACTGAGCGAAACCGGTCAGGGCTATAAAAATTAATTTTTAAAAAATATGTTTTTATTGATTTTTTTTAGAGAGCTAGGAAAAAGAGGGATAGAGAGAGAGAAACATTAATGAGAAAGGAATATCATCTGTCTGCTGCCTCCTGCATGCCCCCCACTGGGGATTGAGCCCACAACCTGGGCATGTGCCCTGACTGGGAATTGAACCAGTGACCTCTGGGTTGCTGGGTCAATGCTCAACCACTGAGCCACATCGGTCGGGCTATAAAAATAATTTTAAATGAAAAAACACTTTTCAGTGTTATTTCGAATAAAAACATCGATCACAGACCTGTGAGTAATTTTCACTAAATTAGGACTGTGTTGTGAGAGTTGACTCCAGCAGACCTAGAATTGCTCTGAGCTGTTTTGCTAAAGTTCTTGGCACTGACCACTGGTCAAGGAATGAAAATACTGATTACAAGTGTGTTGCTTTGTAACCGTAGGTCCAAGGAGTTTCATGGCAGTTTGCACCACCTTGTCAGCACTGTTTATTGGTAACGATGAGATTGATGATTTGCACCAGTCTCAGGAAGAACCGGGAAGGCTCTGCTCTTGAGGCTCGGCTCTTGAGGCTGGTTACATAGCAGAGAAATACTCACATGACCAGCAGAGCATTTAAAAAAAAATCTTAGTTGAGATTCCATTTTGGGATCCCTGGTTGTGAGGTGTTCAGTGCATGTCTGTGGTTCGTGAGAGGAGTTGCTTCAGGGCAGGACCCTTACAGAGGGAAGACCCCCTGGGGTTCCTGCCTAACTGCTCGGACTGCCCGCTGTATCCCGACTCCATTCTGTTGCCACATTGTGCCTTCTCCTGCAGAGCTGTACCTTTGTAAGCACTGTTGCTGGGGTTCTGTTAGTCTTCTTTAGCAATCAAACCCAATTTAACTGGCACTGATAGTGCAAGGACATATCAACTTGATGAAATATTATGCTTTAAAAAATAAGCAAATTGAAAGACTGTAGCCACGGTGAACAATGCTTATGAGATGATATTAAGAGAAAGAGAATATAACCATTTTTCTTCCTATGATAATAAAATCAAGGAGTGAACATGGGATGGATTCTAGGTGTGTGTTTTTTCCAAAAATTTGCATTGTTGCCTGGCCGGCATGGCTCAGTGGTTGAGTGTCAACCTATGAACCAGGAGGTCACAGTTCAATTCCTTGTCAGGCCATATGCCTGGGTTGTGGGCTCAATCCCTAGTGTGGGGCATGCAGGAGGCAACCGATCAATGATTCTCTCTCATCATTGATGTTTCTATCTCTCTCTCATTCTCCCTTCCTCTCTGAAATCAATACAAATATATTTTTAAAGAAAATGTAACTCCTAAAAACCAAATGTAATTTTACTTTTGGAGTTTGATATTAACCTGACATGTATCAGCATTGTATATTAAATGTCAATTCCTCTGACAAGCATTGTGGCATTTTACATATAGATCCACCACTTCATTCTCTTACCTCCTCTAATGTAGAAAGAGCACTGCATAGGTTATCAGAGGACTGAGTTCTCGTCTAAGATTTGTAAGCAGCATGAACTGAACAACATGTACTCCCTTGACCATGATTTCTACATTTCTCAGTCATATGATGATCAAAGCAAGATAATGAATACTATTGACCTGAAAAATACTCTCTGCTAGACAGCAGTAAATAATGGTTTTTAAGTCATTATCATTAGCATCATCAACATAGTAGGTAAGAACATAAAAGAATAAGAAACTTCAATCTATAAAGGAATAAAACAAGACTAAGAGATGAGAGCAGAGAGGTTGGTCATAGAGAAAACATGACAAATGAATAGATATAATAATGGTTGTGTGCTAGATACTGTTCTAAGTAAGCACTTTGCATGTTTATTCATTTAATTCTTGCAACGACTTTACGAGGTAACTGTTATTTTGCCCATTTTACAGATGAGAGCCCTCAGACACAGGAGTTTACATAACTCACCCAAGGTCACATGGCTACTTTCTAGTAGAAACAAGATTTGTAACAGGCAGTATGGCTCCAGAGTCCATACTCCAACTACTGTGCTACATTCCAGGGCAGAGGAGAGTGGGAGGGATCTGGTGGAATGACCAGGAAATGGAATGAAAGAGCAGGAATTCCAGGAACACTCATTTGTATTGAGCACCTACTATGTACCAGGAACTATGGATAAAAAGATGAGTGAGACTGTGGCCCATGCCCCTGAAAAGTCAACAGTATGGTGAGGAAGACAGGCAATAAGTCACATTATTTCAAAACAACATGGCAAATTCTTAAATAAGTACAGAGAGGCATATACTAAGCGATACAGGAAGACAGAGAATGAACACTTCTCCCAGCCCAGGCTGGTGATGTCAAGAAAGCCTTCTTAGAGAAGGTCTAAGAAGTATGATTTGAAATGAAGAGTTGAAATAGGGAGAGGGTGGTCCAGGTTGAGGAAAACAGTGAGGAGAAAAAGCCTGAAGGCAAGTGAGAAGGGTGTATTGGAGGCAAAGTAAACATTTCCCTCCCAAAGAGAACTTGTTTTTGTTTACCTCACATGGACATCAAGCTGCTTCAAAAATTTCCCATATTCTTTATGTAGAGCTTCCTTTTCTTGCTGCAACCCAGACACCTTCTCTGACAATTCCTGGTAGCTCTTGAGATACTGAAAAACATTGATTTTTTATTGATTTCAGAGAGTAAGGGAGAGGGAGAGAGATCAAAACATCAATGATGAGAGAGAATCATTGATTGGCTGACTCCTGCATGCCCCCTACTGGGGATCGAGCCTGCAACCCTGGTGTGTGCCCTTGACCAGAATGGAACCTGGGACCTTTCAGTCTGCAGGCTGACGTTCTATCCACTGAGCCAAATCAGCTAGGGGTGAAAAAGATTTTTTAAAATGAGAATATTCTGTGCTGAATAAAGGTATGATGTTGATGGAATGTAAATTGACAAAGCCTTTCTGCTGAAAAAAAGCTTACAGTGGCTCCAGCTTCTGACACTGTAGTAGCTTCCTGTGATTTCTGCTCTTTCAGATTTTCTGCAGTTCTTTGCCTTGACTTTTGCTCCACCAGCCTTTCCAATAGTTTTGCAAGCATCTAATTACCTATATAAAAAGTCTTCCAGCTCACCCTAGCCGGTTTGGCTCAGTGGATAGAGCCTCGGGTCAAGGGCACATACCTTGGTTGAAGGCTCCTCCCTGGCCGGGGCCCTGGTCACATTGATGTTTCCCTCTGACTTTCCCTCTCCCACTCGCCCTAAAGAATCAATGGGAAGGTGAGGATTAACAAAAGAAGGAAAAAAAAGTCTTCCAGCTCGAAGTCTATAAAGTGAAAGCTGTTTTCCCGAGCTAACCCTGACTAATAAAGTATCTGGTTCTAGAAATGGCTCCTCAAATATAGGAAGCTCAAAGATTGGTTATCTGACCAGGTTAGATGTAAAGGCAGTATAATCTTGTCACTGGTATTAGATATCCATGACCTAAGGGTCAATTAGGTTATAGTTTATAGTTGCCTGTCCTGAAGTACTTTGGGAGACCACCTGATTGGTATAAAGAATGTTAAAGCAGAATTGAGAAGTACAAGGAGTTTGGGGTGGCCTAGCCATAGCAGTTCTTTCTGGTCTTCTACTTATCCCTAACTCTCCCTCCCAACAGTTTTATAAGCATGTTATTGCTTGTGTTAAATCCCTTCTTGCTCAAAATACCTACAGTAAATTCTGCTTTCCTGGCTGAACCCTGACTAAACGAATGGGTAAAGTGCTAGGCGCTCTATAAGTAGTAGCTATTGCCCGATGGCAGCGATCTGCAACCTTTTTCATCTCATGGAACATATACACTAGTTACTAAAATTCTGTGGCACAAAATATATTATAGTTTTTGCTGATCTGACACACAAAAAAAGTGTAATTTTGATTCATTTATACCAGATGGCTATTGTTATGTTGGCTGTAGTCATTTTTTTATTTGACAATCTAATGGAAAAGAAGTCAATGCCCCTCACTAAACAGTGAGGTACTGAATGTTTAAACATTTTTTGTGGCACACCGACTGAAAACCGCTGCTCTCTGGGAACTGGAAAACGGAGAAGCATGTCTATTTACTTTCTTACCTCATCAGATTTTCTTTTTTCATTTTCCAGTTGTTTAAGTTGGGCCTCTTGTTGCTGAATTCTGTGTTGCTGCTGAGAACTGGTCATTTCTAGTATATTCTCTTTATCTAGTAAGATTTTCACTTTTTGTTGTAGCTCATTTATATTTTGATCTAGGAGTTTCCTGAGGGCAATTAATATACATTAAAATCACACCGTGAATTGCAAAGCTTTGCAAATGAAACTCTTTGAGATAAAATTGTGTTTTTTTAAATTCTTATCCAAGGATATGTTTTTCACTGATGAGAGAGAAAGAGAGAGAGAGAGAGAGGGAGAGAGAGAGAAACATTCATGTGAGAGAGAAACATCGATTGGTTGCTTCCTGTATGTGCCCCCAAATAGGATCAAACCTGCAACCTGGGTATGTGCCGGGACCAGGAATGGAACCCGTGGCCCTTCAGAGCAAGGGACAGCACTCCTACCAACTAAGCCACTTGGCCAGGCGTTCCCCATTACTTTTAAGATAAAGTTCAAACTCTTAAATATAGCTTGCTAGCTAGCCTCATTTTAGCTTACCTTTCTAGCCTCATTTTCGTGCCACTCCCTGTACCCACAAACATTTTGTGCCAGCCAAAATGAACTCCCCCATCCCCCAAAATGAAACAAGTCATTCTCCACACTTTCTCCTCCTCTGCAACGCCAACCTTTTCCCTATCTTCCTTGTCCAGGCCTTCCTTTGCCTAATATTCTCTACTTAGCTTTCCCATGCCAACTGCTTTAGTCTCAGCTTAATAGCTTCCTTAGAGGAAGGCTTTCTTGAGCTCTCTAGGCCAGATTAGCTGTCCTTGTTACCTGCTATCACAGCATCATAAACTCGCCTCTGTATAACACATATTTCATTGCAGTTGCAAAGTCTTATGTAGAGGGTATTCTTTATAGTGAAACCGAGGGTCCTGATTTAGCGTATGATTTCTGATGACTATGTAGCCCCAGCATTCTATTCAGTTTCTTCACAGCCTGCCCCATAAGCCTGAGTTCTCCCCTTACTAGTCATTAACCCCCTGAGGCAACAAAAACAATGGCCACACCTTCACTAAAGGTCACAAGGTATGGGTTTCTCTTAAGCTAAAGATAATATCTTGACCTAAGTTATGTTTCAGCTCCTGTGTCCTAAGGTGGAATGACTCCCTGGCTACTTTCCCATAAAACTGGGCAGAGGGATGCCAGAGCTGTCTGCACAGTTTCGAACCCCTAACCCACGGTGTCTTGTGATTTGCCCTATATAGTCTGTAACCTACATGCCATTGGAGTGTTTAGGGTTTTAAGCATTAGCTCCCCATTCTCTGGGGTGTTGCCACTTATAATAAGTTAGCAAATATTTCCCCACAGCAATTCTTGGTGTCTAGTGTTTGGCTCTGCTAGTGCCAGGTGGCTGCACTTTTTCTGTTCGATAACAATACCATCTATAATAATAAAAGCATAATATGCTAATTAGACCAGACAGCCAAACGACCTTCCAGATGTCATTCAGATGTCCTTCCGGATGAAGCTGCATCAGCAGGGGCCAAGGCAGAGGTGGTTAGGGGTGATCAGGCAGGCAGGCAGAGCAGTTAGGGGTGATCAGGCAGGCAGGCAGAAGTGGTTAGGGGTGATCAGGCAGGCAGGCAGAGTGGTTAGGGGCGATCAGGCAGTCAGGCAGGCGAGCAGTTAGGAGCCAGTGGTCCCGGATTGTGAGAGGGTTGTCTGCAAGAGGGATGTCTTACTGGCAGTTAGACATCCCCTGAGGGGTCCTGGATTGCAAGAGGGTGCAGGCTGGGCTGAGGGACATCCCTCCCCCCTCCTAATCCCCCTCCCTCTTGTGCACGAATTTCGTGCCCCAGGCCTCTAGTTATTTATAAAAACAAAAGTGTCTAAAAAGCATTTTACATGAATAATGATAGATGTAACAGGATGCTGTACATATATTTAAAAGAATAGTATGAAATAAATCAGTAACAGAAAGATAGCTGGAAAATCCCAAAATATTTAGTGATTAAACAAACAGTTCTAAAAAATGCATTTGTCAAAAAAGAAGTCTCAAGAAATTAAAAAATATTTTGAACTATGTTTATTTGACATGAAAATGAAAATACAACTTACGAAATTCGTGAGGTGCATCAAAAATAGTGCTTAGAGGGAAATTTATAGCATTAAATGCAAATATTATAAAAGATGAAAAAAAAATCAACAATCTAAGTTTCCACCTTAGGAAAACTAGAGAAAGAGACCAATATAAGCCTAAATTGAGCAGAATAAGAGAAACAATAAAAATTAGATGAGAAAACCATGAAATTAAAAACAGGAAAACAACAGAGAAACCATGAAACTAAAGCTGGCTCTTTGAAAAGATCAATAATATCGATAAACCTCTAACTAGGCTAACCAAGAAACAGAAAACATAAATTACTAATATCAGAAGTGAAAGAGGGATCATCACTATTGTCAGGGAGAAAAATTTTTCCTCTTCCCTTCAGTTAGACAGAGGGGAGCAGAGTAGGACTGATAGACCAGGTACAGAAGGTCACCAGGGCAAAAACCCCAGGTCACTAGCAACAGGCAAAACTGGGAAAACAAGGATCTTGCCCTGTGTAACCTTTCCTCCCCTGGCATGTCGATAGTCATGTGGTAGACCCCCTTGGAGGAGGAACAAAGCGCTGAAGAGTGGCTTCGTGCAACTCCCAGGCAGGCCCTAGCATGACCACTCCTTTAAGCATTTAACCCCAGAGATAACATCTAGGCCTCAGTTGTGTTCAGCTCCAGGCTCAGAAAAGCTGCAAAACCAGACAAGCAATACCATGACTGACATCAGGACCAGCTGCATTGACTAATGACCCCCTGTCCTGGCACTGACCGAGCAGTGGAGACCACACCCTGAAAGGACATACCTGGAAAGATGATGAATATGCTATTGGGATCCTCCGCTGAGACCTCCAGATAAATACCCTTAAGACAGAGGCCCCAGTGCTGCTCTCCCTCCAGGAGCAGGCTGGTGCCTTAACCCCCAAGATGAGTTACCTTTCTCTCTCCAAGGACCCTTCTTTTGTCTTTGTAACTTGTTTCCTGAGCCCATTTCTTCTACAGCTCACTTCCTCTATCTCTGTAGCTTTCTAATACACTTGCTCTTATAGTTTGAGTCTTAGCTCTGAATTCTTAGCCAGAACTCAAGTACTGAAGGTCTGACTCCACTGGTCAAATACCTGGTGCCATTTCACCACCAACTCTTCTAGGTTCTTCTGGCTGGTCTAATAGTTAAATTAACATGAAACAGATTAGCAGGAGAAAAACAAACTAACGTTTAATAACATATACTTCCTGCACAAAAGGGAGAGATGCAGGAACACTGAAGAACTTGCCAAGATGACAAAAGCCTTCACCTTTATCTTCAGCTAAAGACAAAAATAGATGGTGGCGGTAGGGAGTCAGTTATGGAAGGTTACCAGGAAAAGCACAGTAAACAAGCATAATATTATTGTCCACACCTTCTCCATTGATCATTTCTAGAGATATCCTCCTCTTCATGGTATAGTGAGGGAAACACCCTTACAAATGTAAATGTCCTTTTATAAAGAGTAACTTCTACTTGCTTTTCAGAGGTTCTTTCTTGTCTTCTGTTTCTTAAAATTAACCAGCTTAAATAAAATACTCAATATCCCAAAAAGGCGTATTTTGAGGTAGCAGACTCTGCTCCCCTCCACTATTGATCCTGTGGACATTAAGAGACAGTAAGGGGACTTCTCCCAGCTCCTCACCACCTCCGCCAGCTTCCTGCAGTCCTTGCACCCACAGGTATGTCTCAGGCTGAGTTTGACAAAGCTGCTGAGGATGTTAAGCATCTCAAAACCAAGCCAGCAGGCAATGAGATGCTGTTCATCTACAACCACTACAAACAAGCAACTGTGGGTGACAAATACAGAACGGCCTTGGATGTTGGACCTCAAAGGCAAGGCCAAGTGGGATGCCTGGAGTGAGCTGAAAGGAACGTCCAAGGAAGATGCCATGAAAGCGTACATCAACAAAGTAGGAGAACTAAAGAAAAAATATGGACTATAGGGACTGGGTTTGGCTGCCAGCTACGCATGTCATCTAAACTGATAATCATGCCTTGGTTTTCTAATACCACGGATGAAGTGAAATAATGAAACTACCTTCTTCCTGAACACTGTCCAGGATACGGCTCTAACAGATTGAGGAGCAGAAATGGTTACTCACCTTGCAGAGTAGTTTTTATCTAAAGATCAATTAAAACTGCATTTGTTACTTAAAAAAAAAAAAGACAGTAAGGGAATATTATGAACAACTCTATGCCCACAAATTTAATAACAAATGTGGACTAAATGGGGCCACATGCTAACCTGACAAGCTCAGGAAAGGCCTGCAGGTGGCCTTGTAAACTCAGAGGCCTAAAGTAACCACAAAGAATGGTCTGAAATTAAAACTTTAAAAAAAAGAAAGCCATTTTTATTGATTTCAGAGGGGAAGGGAGAGGGAGAGAGAGAAACATCAATGATGAGAGAGAATCATTAATCGGCTGCCTCCTGCATTCCCCTACTGAGGATTGAGCCTGCAACCCGGGCATAGGCCCTGACTGGGAATCAAACCATGACCTCCTGGTTCATAGGTAGACATTTAACCACTGAGCCACATCAGCTGGGCATGAAATTAAAACTTTTTAATTAAAAAGCAGCCTGGCTGGCATGGCTCAGTGGTTGACCATCAACCTATAAACTAGGAAATCATGGTTTGATTCCTGGTCAGGGCCACATGCCCAGGTTGCAGGCTCAATCCTCAGTAGAAGTATGCAGGGGGCAGCCAATCAATGATTCTCTCTCATCATTGTTTCTTTCTCTGTCTCCCTTTCCTTTCCCCTCTGAAATCAATTTAAAAAACAAACAGTCTTTGGTGGGTAGTTCATGTCCAAGGCTGGTATCATCCTCCACAAAGATCAACTTTGATCTTAATTGAGCCTATTGTCTTTTTGCATCTAGATAACATGCCTTTGGAATGTTGGGGTAACTTGTAATTTCCCTTTTTTCCAGACCCCTCAGGGCATAACCAATGCGCCAAGGGCCACAAATTCCCTCATTGTTATTGCTATTTGTGTTAATTGTTATGTGTTAATTGTTAACTGTTAACTATCCTATGCTCACCTAGGTAAAAGAAGCATGTGTCTATCATTTTACTTTTTATCCAATCCCAGAAGTAACTCCCTCCCCGTTGCTTTCTCCCACCTCCCTAATCTATCACCAATGGATTTCATGTAACCCACTTTCTCCTTCTTTGATGGTAATTTATAAAAATAGGTGAAAAACCACCATTCCCTGGAGCATTGTATTGTCTCAATGTGTTGAGATTCTGCTTCCTGGACATAGTTGACAGTTTGGCTCAAATAAACTCACAAAAAATCTTTACAGGTTTGGATAATGTATTTCTTACATTAACAATTGTTAGGGATGGGAGGGAGAAATAGAATAGTGGAAACTAGCTATAGTTATAAGAAATATTAATTATGCTCTGTTAATCATGATTGGTTTGTTCTGATTAAAGAAAGCACATTCTATGCTGGCTGGGAATGGTAAGTCCCCTGGACCTTGGAGCTAACCTGGAAATGCGGCCCATCTTCCTCATCAGAGAGCTGCCTATTATCATGGAAAAATTAACAACCTTGTTGCCAGGTGAGACTGGAGGCACTATCCTTTGCAAACCTCCAGCAGGCATTGCCTGTAACCTGTAACCATTACACCCAATTTTATTCCTTTTCCCTACTTCCCCATCCCTGCTTGCCCATTTTTATTTTGCATACCCATTCTTATTCCTTCTGCCTACTTTCCCATGTAATCTTTGTCCTTCTACTCCATATAACAACTGGCGTATGGGGGGAGGAAGTGCAGAGCAGATTTTTGTGGATGACCTGCTGCTCTCCCATTATTGGCATAAACACACATACATAATTCAACCCTGTCTCTGCTTAATTGGCTCAAGTAGTGAAAGGCAGCCTGGAACCATTGGCTGTACGGTTTCAAAATGATACCAATTATCTATAATCTCTTCCAGAAAAATTGAAGAGGGGATACTTTCTAACTAATTCTAATAGGCAGCATTATACTAATACCAAAACCAGATAAGGATATTTCAAATAGGAAAACTGCAGACCATTATCTCCCATGAACATGTCCAAACTCAATGTGGCCAGTTAGGCTCATCACGACCAGGCCTGGCTTACCCTTCTAGCTTCATTTACTTGTCACTCTCCTAATCCCCAAACATTTTGTTCTAGCTAAAACGAACATTTCTCACTTCACTGATGATGATGACGATAACAGTCATAATTACATCAAATAATGCAACAACAACACTTTTTAGTAGAGTCTTCCTAATGTGTCAACTTAGCTAGGAATTCTGTCCATGCATGTTTCTGGTTAGAGTAGGCTACAAGACATATTTTGTAGAAGATTTGGAGGGCAGAACAGAAGCATTTTGTTTTTTACTCTTGGAAAGTTGGAATATGTGCTCTTGTAGCTCACTTCTTCTGCCTCTGTGAACTTTCCTTCCAAAGGGTCAAGGCACACTCCCCCAGGCTCACTCCTGTTGCTATGATCTTGCCTATTTTATCTTAAGCTCTTACTCTGTTTCACTGTCCCTAGCTTTAAACTCTCAAAATCATCTGGACTTGTGTTGTGAATCTTTCCTGCATGAAGTCAAGAACTGAGGGCTAATATTACCACTAACAGTTCTACTTCTCCAATTGAACCCTGACTGATACAAGTGCTTACTATGCGCTGCTAGACACTGATACAAGCCAACTGCTTATAACTCATTTAATTTACACAATGATCCTATGAGGTAGGAGTTTTGTGTTTGTTTTTTTACCATTCATCATTTTTGTTTTACTTCATTGTATGTTTGCCTTTCAGGCATTCTCTTGCTTTGTGAGTAATGCTTAAAAAGGCATTCTTATTGTAGTTTATTCAGAATTTAGTTGTATTATAACAGGAGGATAGCCTGTCATCCTGCTAGAAGTGACAGTCGGACAACTATTTTTCTACTATACCTCACTGAGTGAATTCATTATTCATCTTCACCTTCATTCATTCATTCACTTACTCAAACATGTTTTTGTTCACTAAATATTTACTGAATACCTATTGAGTGTCAAGCCCTGCGCTAGAGCTTTTAATTGGAGGTGAAAGTAAGTTTCTGAGCTTCATAGTATATGTGGATGTCTGTCTATCTTTTCACTGTCTAAAATAATATTTTTCTTAAAATATACGTAAGTCACACTGAGTGCTACAGAAGTAGGAAGCATCAATTACTGGAGTTTAGGGCATCTAAGGCAATTTAAGTGAGATCCTAATAATCTAATAATTTTAGAAAAAAATATGACAGCTCATATCTGGTAGCAACTTGTTGATGATTAAGATGCTTGTAATGTACTTGGAACTTCTTTGAAGAAAATCAGCTCATAAATACAAAACACCAACTTCATTCTAGTCTGCATTTTGTGCTAATCATGTTAGAATTAGAAAAGCAAATCCTGGAGTATGCTATTTCCTAGGCAATTCAGTCATTCAAGAAAATATACTGGTGCACCGAGTGTGTTCCTGAACAACAAGAAAGAATCCCTGCCTTAAGAATCCCACACTCGCCTGGCTGGTGTGTTGGTTGGTTGGTTGGTTGGTTGGTTGGCTGACTGTTGTCCCTTGCACTGAAAGGTTGCAGTTCGATTTCCAGTTGGGACATATGCCTGGGCTGTGGGCTCAATCCCTGGTGGGGGCTTGCAGGAGGCAGCTGATTGATGTTTTGCTCTCACACATCAATGTTTCTCTCTCCCTCCCTCTAAAAATCAGTAAAATTCTTAAAAAAAAAAAGAATCTTATACTCTAGTGTGAAAGGCAAACAAGGAAAGAAATTATTAGTATTAGTATACAAGGTGGTAAGTGCGATATATAAGAGTGTGAGTTTATTTCAGTGGGGGAACAGAAGAAACATCGGTGAGTAGACACTGCTGGTAAACTCAACCAAGATTAGCCCATGAGAAGCTGACATCTTTGCTCCTCTTACCTCTTTTGTTGTTCTTCTGTTATCCTTTCCTCTAGTTTCTTCTTTCCCAAAATACAAGCATCTGTGAGACAGACTTTATGAGCCTGTTCTAATTTCTGCTGTAGATCCAAAATCTTGAATGAAAAAAGTTTACAAATAAAACTTTAAAGAAAAATGTGACCTATTTTCCAATTAGGGAAATACGATATAAATAACAAACACAATAGTACTGGCACACAATCTGATCACTCAGTGATTTTTCCATATTATAAGTACAGCATGTGACATAAGTAGGTTTATAATTGTTTGTATGGAAAAGAATAATTAATAAATAATAATATAAGAATAAGCTTTGTGCACTGCATACTCACAACTATAAGCTTACTTTTGCCCAATCCTGAATATATATGTGTGCTCTCTTTTACAGCCATATACCACCCCACTGTGAGAATATACCATAACTTATTTAATTAACCTCCTACTGGGGGACATTTAGGTTAATTCCAATCTCTTGCTACTATAAACAATGTCTCTGGAATAATTTATGAGGTGTGGATTTGCCAGGGCAAAGGTCATTATTTGTTTGTTTGATAGATAAGGCCAAACTGTCCCTATAGGTATTAGACCAGTTTACACTTCTAACAGCAATGTGTGAGAGTGTCTGGTTTCTCACAGTGTGGCTACATTCATGGATAATATCTCAAAACAAAGTCAAAGTCTCTTACAAAGCAAGTATCAATTAGCATATTGCCGAGCACCAGTAATAGGTTCTTTAATACCCTGGTCATTCTAAAAATAAGATTTATAATGTGAAAGAGAGATATATAATTTTATTTTAGAATTTACATGTTAGATTAAAAGTGTCATTAAAATATTTTTGTTAGGTAAATATCCTTTTAAACTTGTTTACTTTTTTAAAAATATTTTTAAATTGATTTTTAGAAAGAGAGGAAGAGAGAGGGATAGAAAGATAGAAACATCAAAGAGAGGGGAACACCTCTACTGGGGATTGAGCTGCAACCCGGGGATGTGTCCTGACTGGGAATCAAACTGGCGACCTCTTGGTTCCTGGGTCGACACTCAACCACTGAGTCACACCGGCCTGGCAAGACTTGTTCATTTATTTTGATAAGCCTTTGTGTCACCTACATTTGTAACTGGTACATAGCAAGTATTCAATAAATATTTGCTGAATGACTAGATTTCAGCAGAATAGCTGTTCTCCCTCTATTGTATTCCTGACCCAACAATGAGCCCCTTACAATAGTTTGACACCACATTCCCCACAAACATTCAGTGAATGCCAGTGTATGGCAGACCTTTTCTAAGAGAAGATCTTTCTGCATCAGCCTAAGCCCTGGCCCTAAGCCCTTTGCAAAACCCATACACCACAGGAGAGGTGAAGTAGCAGAATATTCAGGGCAATGGCAGAGGCCAGGTCCAGTTCCTTTGAACTGCTCAGGGGAAATACTAACTTAAAGATATTCAGTCTTAATTCCACAGAAGGAAGTATCACCCCACTGGCTTCTCTGTCAAGGACAGATGCCAAACTTTTGAACTCGCCACCCAATTTAAGAAAGAACATTTCCAAAACTTCTGAAGTCCATTCTGTGACCCTCGTTAATTATATTCCTTCCTGCTCCACCTGAGAAAACCAATATCTTGACTTTTGTGTCAATCATTGCTTTGCTGTTGTTTTTTTCTTTTTTTTGGCTGTGCTGCCCGAAGGCAGACGGTTTTTTTGTTTTTGTTTTTTCTTTTAACAATATATCTCTCTATGTGACATGGCTTTCAGTTTGTACTATTTTGACCTTTATATCAGTGGAATCATACTGCGATTTTCCTGACCTGGTTTTTATTCAATATTACATTGAACTCAGCACGTACCTGTAATTAATTCAGTTTTGCTGTTGCATGCTGTTGTGTAAATATATAATTTATTTATTCAATCTCATATCAGTGGGCATTTGGGTTGTTTCCAATTTTCTGCTTTTGTTACATGAAAATGGCTGAATTCCTGCCTTCGGATACATATGTGCCGTATAATAGCTTCTCTAGTGTTTATGCCTAGTAGTAGAAGTGTGGGGTTGTATAGTATATACATCTTGAACTTAACTAGAAACCACCATTAAACTGTTTTCTAAAGTGTTTATTTGGATTTACTCTTCCAACCGTAGTCAGTATGAGCTCCTACTGCACAAAACCCTCACCAATATTTAGTAGTGTCTAAATTTTAAATTTTACCAATCTTTATCAATTACTTTTTTATGGAGCAATAACACATGCAGTAAAGTGTAAACGCAATACACTTTTACTTATAGGACCACCTCTCAGGCCAACATATAGAATACTTGTAAGCACCACAGAAGATTCCCGCACATCCCCGCCCAGATAAAAGGCCTTACAGAGACAGCCATTAACCTAACACCATAGCTTAGTTTCTCTGTTCTGGAACCTCATATAAATGAAATTACACCGTATGAACTCCTTTGTGCTGGCTTCTTTAGTGAACATTAGGCTTTTGAGTTTAATTCAGATTGCTGTCATCTACTTCTTGGTATTAGTTTTATATTTATAGAGTTAGATAAAATGACATTTTTTAAAATATAAAATTTGACTCAGACAAACTTACAGATCAAAATGTGCACCTGTTACCTCCTACTGCCACCTGGCGTTAGGCAGTCTAAAATGCAGGGGCAACATTCCAAAATGGCTCATTTCACCACACAAATCATTCCAGAAATTACAAAATAAAAATCATGTAAACACCAATCCAAATGAGAAGAGATGAGGCTTTTAAAATTTGCATGTGTAAAAGGAAAGTCATTGGGTCTCAGTTCTTTAAGTTATTGCTTTTATGAAACACCTTTATAGGTTTATGCAGTTTTGAAAAAATACACAAAATTTACTGGAATTATAGGAGCAGATGAAGTTGAAGGGAGGAAAGCATGAGGGAGTAAAGAAAAACCCTAGAACTCTATCAAGTTTGCACCGTATCTATTCCTTACAGTCCGTAGGGAAACAGATTTCAGTAGTAGTATCCAGCGCATGTTACTCATTACGTGTGAGGATAATTACCTTTTCCTCTGCGTCAGCAACTTTGGATTTCTCCTGAGCCAGCTTTTCTTTCAGGGTGTTCTGTGATTTAAGGCTCTCAGCCTGTGTCAGTACTTCCAGCTCCAGCTCCTTGATTTTCTGCTGACAGTGCTTCCACTCTGCTGGGGGTGGAGAGCACAGCCTTGCGCTGTCCGATAACTTCTGCTGGGCCTGCTTGAGTTCAATTTTGAGCTAGAGGTGGGGAGTAAATAACAGCGATGGGAATAAGCATGGAGTGAATGTGATTGTGAGCCAGAATAAGCAGCTTTCAGAGGAATGCTGTCCCCCAAGAGCTGACGAACACCAATGTCATGGTGGCTGATTTCCTCTCTGGAGCTGCCACGTGTCAGTAAGGTTTCCCAAGGTCTATCTCTCCAGATGGCAGCTGGACAAAGGGATTTTCCTAAGAGTGTCGATACATGCATGGTCTAAATATTTTTCCATCCTTTTTTCTATCACTCCAGGCTGGCTTTCATTCCCGCTACTCCGGGAAGCTGCTTTTGCTAAGGGCACTATTGCCAAAGTAGAGCCAATGGACAGTTGACCTCTCAGTGGCCTCCACTCCCTCCCTCTCAGAAAGTTCCCCTCCTCTCTTGGAGTCCGTGACACCAAACTCCCATGATTTCTACTTACCTCTCTCCTGTTCCTTATTGGTCTCTTTTGTTGACTGTTCTAGTGCCACCCAACTTCTAAATGCTATTGGATTAAACTGGGCCTTGAGAGTGGATCACTCTCTCTTGGTTCATCCTCATGATTTAAAATAAAACACCACCTTTATGCCAAGTAACTGCCTAAGTGGAATTCCTTGATCTGCCCACATTTCCAAGATGGTTTTCCTCTCAGTCTTCCTGACTAGTGAATGATGTCACCATCTACTCTGTGCAGGCCAGTAACCTGAGAGTTATCCTTGAGTCTTCCTTTTCCATTATGAGCCAATTCAGCGCAAGCTGTCACTCTGCCTCCACAACAGATCTTGCATCAATTCATTTGAGTCGTTTGTGTCACGACTCTAGTCTAGATCATCATCTCTAGCCCTGACCATAGCAAGAGCCTCAACCCCGGTTCTGCCATTTCCATGTTTACTCCCTTCTAATCTGCACAGCAGCCAAAGTGTTCTTTTTCAAACATAAATTGAACCACTTGACACCCCTCCTTAAATATTTCAGTGGCTTCCCCTCACTCCGGGAACAAACCCCAGCAGTTTGCCTGGCCTTGTGTGACCCAGCCCTTGCCAACTTCTTTAAAACCATCCTGTCATTCCCCCTTCTTCCACTGACCTCCTGTCCTGCTGGTTTCTATTTAGAGTCTCCAACACACCAGACTCCACTCTTCCCTCTGCTAGAAATGTATTCCCTTCCCCCTCTCCTCATGGTACGGTTGGTTCCTGTCTATTTCTCAGGTCTTAGCTTAAAAGGCACTCTGTAAGAGAAAACCTCCATGATCATTTAATTTGAGGAGGTCTCCTTACTTACTTACTCACTTATTATACCAAATTTATTTCCTTCAGAGAACTTATCACCATTTATAATTAAACATGTATTTATCTACTCTTTCACATCCTTCTTCCTTACTCTAAATTCCCATGTGTTTTATTCATTTCTTAGTATCCAACACCTATGCCTAAAGTAGGTGATTAGTTAATATTTACTGAATAAATAAATGAATGAATGATATTCTAAAGAATATTAGAACCTGGTAAATGGGCATAGTAGGTAGGACTCACAGACAAAAATGCTGAGCTAGAACTTATTTCACTTTATGTAACACAGAATTTCCTGGGCTCAAAGCTTTTCAACTAATTAATAGGGATTATAACTGTAATTTCCTCCACTTGTAACTTCTGCATATTAACCATTCAGATTTTATCAAATGAATTAAAAGTTAATAATGTTTAACCTCTCTAAGCATGTTTCTTCATCTGTAATATGGAGATAACTACTTAACTCATAGGACAGTTGGAAAGTTACACTTAATAAAATAAAGCAATGAAAGCATCAAGAATAGAAATAGCCATATATATAATACCTAATACAAGTTAGCTGTTGTTCTTCAAGAATCACTTACAAGGAGACGTATGTTAATACTTTAAACAATAAAGAATTTAAATAAATAAAAAAAATCACAGAATATCTACTGTATTTGAAGTACAGAACTGAGGCAGATACTACTATAACTACTGTATGTTGGTTAGGTTTTCATATCAATGAAGTAGTTGAGATTCGTACTTTACCCCATTTTAAATGAAAAAACGAAGTCTCGAATATAGTTGGCAAATGATAGAACCATGGTCTGAATACAAATTTCTGATTCTAGCCCAGTATTTAATACTAAACTACCTCAAATTGTGAAATGCCTGTATTTTTAAAAAATATTTTTATTGATTTCAGAGAGGAAGGGAGAGGGAGTGAGAGAGAAACCTCAATGATGAGAGAGAATCATCAATTGGCTGCCTCCTGTACTCCCCACACTGGGGATCAAGTCCACAACCTGGGCATGTGCCCCAACCGGGAATCAAACTGTGACCTCCTGATTCCTAGGTCAACGCTCAACCACTGAGCCCCATCAGCCAGGTGAAATGCCTGTATTTTTTATTTATCAACAAAGCTAGTTCTTGAAAAGTCTAATAAAATGGATAAACTAGTGAAACTGATTAAGAGAAAAGCAACAAAGGGTAACTAGTATCATGAAATTAAAAAGGACTATTGCTATATTTAAAAATCCCTCTCATCGATGTTTCTAACTCTCTATCCCTCTCCCTTCCTCTCTGTAAAATATCAATAAAATATATTAAAAAAAAAAAAAAAAGAAGCATTCAGGGGCTGCAGGCACACGGACAATGTGCTATTTCTTTTCCTGGGTGGTGGTTACATGGATAATCACTTTACAACAATTTATTAAACTATATATTTATGTTTTATGTACTTTCTGAGTGCTATATTTCACAATAAAATGGTTTAAAAGCAATTAACAAGTACAGTAGATCCTCGGGTTACATCAGAGATCCATTCCTAGGGCGACATAACGCGATTTTCGCCGTAAGTCGGAACTCCCCTACATAAGCACCTACGTCACTCACATGGAGCACATACACAGCAGTAATAAAGTGAAACAGTAAAAAAAAAATTTAAAAGAAAGATAACAATTCCTGACCTTTACTTGTGGTAAATAAAAAAAAAAAAAATAAAGCACATATGTACATACGTCAAAATGACGGAACTTTTTAAAATATAAATACAGTAAATGGGAGATGGCGATGTAACCACGAAACGACATACGTTGAGTCCGACGTAACCCGAGGACTGCCTGTATTATGCTTTTTAAATCAGTCTCATACATATGCTTAACTTAGCCAGACACAGAGTTTGAACATCTCTGAGTGGATTTTAAAAAGTGAGCGCTACATTTGCAAAGTTGAGGTTTCAAAATGACCTCAAAATGAAGAGAGGAATGATAACTCGATAGAGGAAAGAGAGAACTAAACGTGGGTTTACATTCTGATTCTATAATTTGTTAGCTTTTCAATCTTGAACAGTTTTCCCATCCATAAAATGCTAGCTTTTCAGGGTTGTGGGAAATTTATAAGGGACAAAACAGACAAACTGTCAATAAAAGGTAGTTGGCTATTGTGTACTCTGCATAGGACCTGGCCTAGGGCACCAGGACAAAGACTGATATCTCATTACTGAAAAGGCCAATATTTCGCCCTACCATGAAGGAGATTTGAAACAGGACAAAAAATATCTTCTCCTTTTACCAAACTATCATTTACCTACACCTGAAAAACTTGTTCGCTAATTCAAAAAATATTTATAGGGTGCCAACCATATATAAAGCATCATGATCTGTGTTTTTCTGGTCATTGCACCTTGAAAAAGATGTACATAGTAGTGCTTGAATATGTTTAAAGCTGGACAATTAAAATGGTCTAAGAAATGTGGTTGAAGGGAAAGTTAAAAGGCTGTCTTACAAGGAAATGTGATGAAGATTTTGAATTTAATTTAAAACTATAAAGGCTTGAGGGAATATGACCAATATTCAAAAGATCATGAGGTTTATTCAAATAACCCTGAAATACCAGAACACCTAGAAGAGCTTCCCTTGAAGTTTAGAATAAATGACTATTCGTTTTCCTCTACATCTGTCCTACTAGACTGTGAGCCCCTAAAAAGTATGGATCTTTCTTAATCTATCTTTATGTCACTTTAAAAAAAATGATTTCAGAGAGGAAGGGAGAGGGAGAGAGACAGAGAAACATCAATAATGAGAGAGAATCATTGACCAGTTGCATCCTGCACACCCCACACTGGGGATCAAGCCCACAACCTGGGCATATGCACTGACAGGGAATCGAACCATGACCTCCTAGTTCATAGGTTGACACTCAACCACTAAGCCGCGCCAGCTGGGCTTTTATCCTACAACACCAGGGGTGGGCAAATTTTTCCTATAAAGGGCTGCCAGATAGTAAATACTGTAATCTTATCAGAACTACTAAAATCTGCTATTGTAGTACAGAAGAATCCATTGATAACATGTCAACAAACAGATATGGTTGTTTTGTAAATAAATTTTTATTTACAAAAACAGAAGGCAGGTAGGATTTGACCCAGTGGCCAAAGTTTGCTGATCCCTGCATCAGGGAATAAGGACTGTGTCTGTTTGCCTATCATTAAACCCTCATATCAACAAGATCCTACCCAGTGTATGACTGATGTTCAATAGATATTTACTGAAAACAAAAATCTTAGCTAGGAGCTCACAGAAACTAGATACCTATATATTTACAGAATTGAACCATAATAAAAAGGAAGTATGACTATTTTACATGGTGGTTCAAATTGAACACTTATGTGGTTTATACAATTTAGATGAGTATGTGGATGGCAGTTCTAATATTTTCAAACAAGCATGTTTGGGGATGGTCTCTAACTTTAGATGTTCTTGTGTCAGGAAGAACAACTCTGCCCTCCTATGAATTATACCGCGGTGCAGCTGATATTTGAGTCAACCAATATCTTATTTATTAGAGATAAATAAGCCTAGAGATAGAACTAGGGCAGGACAACCAGGGTTTAGGCTCAGGTCACTGCAATTAGTAAGTGCTACAATTTTAGGTAATAATTTCAAAAGATTGTGTTACTTTAAAACTTTTCATATTTACAGATTGACAACATACATACACCTTCAGAGCAGAGAAACAACTGAGCTGTGTACCTACTTGGTAGGGAAAAGTTAAAAACAATAATCTGAGAGCTCATATTGTCCACCATCTATGGACATTATCATGAATTATCAAGTTGAGAAATTTTGATTCATTTTTCCCCTGGGCCAATTGAGTAATTGAGACCCGTCACTAAAGGATGTGCCCATTAGAGCTACCTTAATGCTTTCTTCCTGAAGTAAGCTATTATGTTGCTTTAGGTCCAAGTTCTTTCCCCGCTCATATCGGAGCTCTTTTTCAGCTGAGCTGCAGAGAATCTGGAGCCGGTGCAAATTCTGGCGAAGTTGTTGTACTTCTTCTTGCTGCTGCTGGTATTTCAGTTTTTCTTTAGATGATAGATTCTAAAACAAACATTTGAAAAGAGAAACATGGACAATTTGAAAGAATATTGGTGAGACATGGGTTCTAGCTGTCATAACCAGAATTGTCAGAATGTGATTATTGACATGTTAGTTGGTACATGTTTATATACTTTAACTCCCATTATATTAGAGTAAAATATCAAAGAAATTATGTGAACAAAAGCAGTTAAACATAGATACACAAGTCCAGGGAGTGCAGAGAGTCCCAAACTAGATGAACTCAAAGAGACCCACACCAAGACACATCCTAACTAAAATGCCAAAGGTTAAAGACCAAGAGGTAATCTTAAAGGTAGCAAGAGAAAAAGTTATCTAAAAAGGAGCTCCCATAAGATTGTCAGCTCATTCCTCAACAGAAATATTTCAGGCCAGAAGTGATTGGCAGAAATTATTCAAAATGATAAAAAAACAAGGACCTACAACCAAGGCTACTTTACCCAGCAAGGCTATCATTTAAATTTGAAGGAGAAATAAAGAGCCTCACAGAAATTAAAGGCGTTCATTATCACCAAACCAGTATTATAAGAAATATTAAAGGGTCTTCTTTAAGAAGAAGACATTTAAAAAAAGAGGTACATAGTTAGAAAGAATAAAATGGCAATAAATACGTACCTATTAATAATCACTTCAAATGTAAATGGATTAAATGCTTTAATCAAAAGACATATGATATCTGAATGGATAAAGAAAACAAGATCCATATATAGATGCTGTCTACAAAAGACGCACCTCAGAATGAAAGATATACGCAGACTAAAGTAAAAGGATGAAAAGATATTTCATGCAAATGGAAATGAAAATACCTTTATCAGACAAAATAGACTTTAAAACAAAGGCTCTAATAAGAGACAAAGGCACTACATAATGATAAGGGGAGCAATCCAACAAGAGGATATAACCCTTGTTCAAATATTTATGAACTCAACATAGGAACACCTAAACATATAAAGCAAATCTTGATGGACTTAAAGGGACAGATTGACACTAATACCATTATAGTAGGGGATTTTAATACCCATTGACATCAATGGCTAGATCTTCCATACAGAAAATCAACAAGAAAATGGCAGCCTTAAATGACACTCTAGATCAGATGGATTTAATTGATATTTTCAGAGCATTTCACCCCAAAGCAGCAGAATATACATTCTTTTCAAGTGCACATGGAACATTTTCTAGGATAGACCACATGTTGGGACACAAATCAAGTATCAATAAATTTAAGAAGATTGAAATCATATCAAGGATCTTCTCTGACCAAATGATATGAAACTGTAAATCAATTACAAGAAAAAAAATTAAAAACACACAGTCATGGAGGCTAAATACTATGTTATTAAATGAATGGGTTAACAAGGAGATCAAGAAGATAAAAGAAGAAATCAGATACAAATGAAAATGGGAACACAACAACCCCAAATCTATGGGACACAGTGAAAGCAGAGGGAAATTCATAGTATTACAGGCCTGCCTTAAGAAACAAGAAAAATCTCAAATAAATAACCTAATCTCATACCTAAAGGAATTAGAAAAAGAACAACAAACAAAGCCCAAAGTGAATAGAAGAAATAATAAAGATCAGAGTGTAGCCTGGCTGGCGTGGCTCAGTGGTTGAGCATCGAACTATAAACTAAGAGATCATGGTTCGATTCTCAGTAAGGGCACATGCCTGGGTTGAGGCTCGATCCCCAGTGTGAGGCCTGCAGGAGGCAGCCGATCAATGATTCTCTGTCATCATTGATTATTTCCATCTCTCTCTCCCTCTCCCTTCCTCTTTGAAATAAAAATATATTTTAAAAAGATCAGAGTGTAAATAAACAAAATAGCATCTAAAAAACAACATTCAATGAAGCCAAGAGCTGGTTCTTTGAAAAGATAAACAAGATTGATAAATCTTTAACCAGATTCATTAAGAAAAAAATAGAGAGAACCTAGAGAGTACTATGCTAAGTGAAATAAGTCAGTCAGAGAAAGACAAATATGATTTCACTTACATGTGGAATCTAAAGAACAATACAAACCAACAAAACAGAAACAGCTCATAGAACAGAGAACAGACTGATGGTTGCCAGAGGGGAGAGGGGCTGGGTGAAAAAGGTGAAGGGATTGCGAAGTACAGATCGGTAGTTAGACAAGTCACGGGGATGTAAAGTACAGCATAGGGAATATAGTCAATAATATTGTAATAACCATGTATGGTGACAGATGGGCACTAGAAATCTCAGGGGGAACACTTTGTACAGTATATGATTGTCTAATCACTATGCTGTACACCTGGACCTAATACAAAATAATACTGAATGTAAACTATAATTTAAAAAATGTTTAAAGGTCAAGTTCTAGAGTAGACAGATCCAGATTTCACCACAATGCATCATTCTGGGCAAACTATTTAACCTCTGTAAAGCCTCAGTTTCCTCTCCTATAAAGTAGAAACAATAATATTCCTGCCTCATTGTACTGCTGAATATATACAGGGTATTTAGTAGAGTGCTTAGAACATTGTAAATATTCAATAATGTTATTAAAAACCCATGAGGCTAGGTTTTAAGCCTATAAAATTGAGATATTCATGGTGGTTTGAACGTGTTTCAAGAATATAGGGAAAGTAATATCTAGAATTGAGCTTTTACAACATCGATGTTGAACAGCAGAAATTAAGTCCCCAAAGGCCATCCGCAGCCACAAATACGTATGAACAACAGAGCTCACATATTCAAGAGGCTCTCACAGTTCTGTCTTCTATGTATTTACCGTGTATAAGCATTCTTTAAAGTTTGGTATCTGCCCTCAGCCTACAGTTGCTTAAATGTGCACGATTAAGATGACACAACACATATGGATAGCAGCTAGATACTAGACACTCTAATCTGACAACAGGTTAGAGACTGAAGGGTCCCAGGATCAATTCCGATCAAGGACATGTACCTCGTACCTCGACTGCAGGCTCAATCCCTGGCCCTGGTTTGGGCACATGCAGGAGGCAACCAAAGGATGTGTCTCTCTCACATTGACATTTTCCTCTCTCTGTCTCTCCCCCTCCCTTCCACTCTAAATGAATAAATGAATGAATGAGTGAGTGGGAAAATATCCTCAGGTAAGGGTTAACAAAAAACATAAAACAAAAACAAAAAACCCTTTGTACACACACAAGAACTTTCAAAAAAGAACAACCTATACTCATCAGTAAGTCAAAGAACTCTATACACAGAAGAAGATTCTGAAATTACTACTGCACAGTTCACTGCAGAAAAAAAAATCAGTCTAAAATGTATTTCCTTCCTTGCCTGCTTAAAGTAAATGAAATAGTGTGTGTGTGTGTGTGTGTGTGTGTGTGTGTGTGTGTGTGTGTCACAGTGCTTTGGGAAATGTAAAGTTCAAAATAAATATATGTTATTTCTTTCCCATGAGACCCACATCTATTTTGTTTATTGGATCTCAAAATTGTTGTCAGAAAGGTGTGTGCAGGGAAATCTTAACTTGTACAAGAATTAACCTGTAGCCCTAGCCGGTTTGGCTCAGTGATAGAGCGTCGGACTGCAAAGTAAAGGATCCCGGGTTTGATTCTGGTCAAGGGCATGTACCTTGGTTGTAGGCTCCTCCCCGACCAGCCCAGGCCCTGCTAGGGGCATGTGCAGGAAGCAACCAATCGATGTGTTTCTCTCACATATTTCTCTCTGTCTCTCCCTCTCTCTTCTTCTATCTCTAAAAATCAATGGAAAAATATCCTCGGGTGAGAATTTAAATAAATAAATAAATAAATAAATAAATAAATAAATAAATAAATAAAAGAATTAACCTGTAAAATTGAGGTGTAAGAACTGAAGTGTGGCCAACAGTCATTTCCTTCATTTTTCCTGGAGGCAGATCTCTGGTAAATAGCAAAAGCCATATTTAAAACAATTCTATAATCATGGTCTTTTTTTTCTCTAAAACAAAGTATTTTATACATCTAAACGAGGTACCAGGAATAGAAAATGTGGCACAAATCCTGCCATTCCCTATCTTACCTGCCAGGACAGATAATGATAATTAGTTTTGTTTTTTTTCCCCCCTGTTGAGCCTCAAATGAGGGGCTTAGTTCAGATTTTAGCTGCTATCTTATTACCCCTCAGGCTGTGATTATGATATAGTTCAACAAATATACATATAAAATATTTTTTAATCCACAGCTGATCAGAGGAAATGGCACCTGCCTTGGCATCACCCCATATCTCTGAGACTGAGGAGGCTCTAATGTAGATGGCTCACCTCTTCCTTAAGCCTCACAGCTTCCTCAGGCTTCCAGGTCAACTGCTGTTCTTCCCTTTTCATATCTTGGTTCTGCTGTAAGTCCTCCTCTCTCTGCCTCTTTCTTGGAAAAGTGCCCTCTACTGACTCCTCTGGAGTTTCTTTCAGCTTACTTTCTCCTAGTCCAGAACTTGGTTAAATATAACAATAAAAAAACTATCAAAATGCTCATTCTACTGGCAGAATATGGAGGGGAAAAAAATCTACCAGTCCAGAAAGTATTGCAAGAAAGATTTTCAACTTGAATTCTATAGATCAGTTACCTTATAATTAAACCTTAAAAACACACGAGTCTTATTTTCTTACTCACATTCAGGAAGATGACACAGCATAGACTTTTGTCTACACCCAAACAACCAGTTTAAGTGAGTTTTTCACTTTTTCAACTTTTAGTATGGCACTGGGCAGGCGGAGCTTGTGAAAAAATTTTATAAACCCTCAATAAGCTATTCAGTATAAATTTAAAATTACAGTAATACATATAGAAAACTTTTCTGTGAAATTAAACTTTTCATACATACTTAACTTTAATTACACAAACATGTTTATATAAGTAAAAACAGGTAAATTAACTAATCTGTCAATTTTTTAACATACACATTTGGAAAAACTACTTTATTATATAATGGACTTTCGGCTTTAACCGACACCTGCTCGCCTGAATCAGTTCATTATATGGAGGTTTCACTGTACACTATTCTAGTGCTCAAAACTATATTTTTCTCCCCTCCCCCCCAAACAAACCCAAATGCTGTGATTAGCTTCTTGGCTCTTTGCTCTTGTGACCACTCTCACACCTGTTCATCACCATCCCTCCAATATGTTCTTCACCCTTCTGCAACTAGGTAGGTTTCATGATGGTGAACCTTGACTCTGAGCTCACTCTAAATTTAAAAACCAGTTTTTAAGAGAACATGAAATTCAGGGGCCCCAAACTGGCAAAACAATCTCCTCTCTCAGAACATTTATTAAGATATAAATGTGGCTACACCTACACAAATATTCTATTTCCCAGTTCATTGATGCTATATCCTTTAGTATGGCATATAAGTAAAAACTGACAACTATTGTTTCCTTTCGATGATCTGGTTTTAGGCTTTTGCCCATGCAAAATTTTATTGCATCTATTAGTTTGTATGCAAAAATAGAGTAGTGCATTTACCCGACCCTCAAAAGTTTCTGTGAAAGATACTTCTGGTGAAAAAGTAGAAATACTAGAGTTAGAAGACAAGATTAACAAAAAGCAAAAAACAAAAGAAAGACCAGAAAGAAAAAGGTTTTCAAAATAAAACAATGGTCAGATATGTTAAATAAAAAACACACAAATCTCTCTGCAGAGTCTTAATTATATAAAAAATACAAATATATTTGTGTACAGAAAAAGAAGAAAGAAAATTTAAGATGTTAATATCTCTCCATGGTGGGAATTATGGATTATTATAATCTCCTTATAATTTTTCATGCTTTAAAATTTTTCTATGAAAAGCATATATTTACTCTGGCTGGTTTGGCTTGGTGGATAGAGCGTTGGCCTGCGGACTGAAGGGTCCTGGGTTTGATTCAGGGTCCTGGGTTCAATTCTGATCAAGGGCACATGCCCGGGTTGTGGGCTTGATCTCCAATAGGGGGCATGCAGGAGGCAGCAGATCAATGATTCTCTCTCATCATTGATATTTCTATCTCTCTCTCCCTCTCCCTTCCTCTCTGAAATTAATTAAATTTTATTTTTTTAAAAAAGAAAAGCATATATTATTATTATTTTTAAAAGAAAAAGTTTTAAAATGTAACAATATACCAGAAGATAAACTTTGGGGAATGCTTGCTTGTAACTAATTTTTCCACTCACATTATTTGGAATTCAATGATAAAGTCAAATAAAACATACCCCCCAAATTATTAATGTAATATGGGATTTTCTCAATTTACCAGAGTTCCTCTCTCTCTTCCTTTGGGCTTTGAACCTCTACTTCCAAATCTGGTAAATTAGACATGAGATCTTTATAAATATTTTCACTTGTAAAAAAATTAGCAGCTGCAATATTTGTGTCTACAGTAAAATTATTTAATTGTTCATATTCTTCTGCAAGCTTCAAGACCTGTGAATTAAAAAGACAAATAGTCTATTTTGCATATTCTTATGTATAACTGTGAAAAAATATATTGATTCCATTAAATGATTGCGTAGGTATTGCCTTAAGTAATAGAAATGGACATCCTAGTTGAAGTGTTCTTTCAATTTAATACTTTGCAGTTATTACTATATACCTGTATAATCAAATCCATTTTTACCACAGACATAAGGATGTGTTTGATTCTAAGAACACAATGAATGCAATTCTAAAGATCAATTTAAGTTACTTTATGAGATTCCTTTGTTTGGTTTCCTAGGCTTTTTCACTTCTCTGAAGATATAAACTATAATCTTGAACTGATCCTTAGGGGATGGGAAGATATGGATAGGTGAGAGACTATAACACATTTAAAGCATTTTAAGGATGAGCAATATGATCAAAGGCATTGGTGTGGTATTTGAGCAGAAGGAAGGAGAATGGTCTTAATGGAGTAGAGACTACAAAATAAGGAGCTGAGGAAATAAGGTAAGATTGAGAGGTGTAGTCACTTTATGAATGGACTTGAAAGAGAAGAATTCTTAATAGAATTCTTACTTTTGTAAGCTGAAAAAAAAAAAAAAGAGTTTCAAAAGGCTACTTAATCCTTTTTTTATGGGGTCAATGTAAAAATTTAACCATTACAGCCCTAGCCGGTTTGGTTCACAGGATAGAGTGTCAGCCTGAAGACAGAAGGGTTCCGGGTTCGATTCTGGTCAAGGGCACGTTGTGCCTCCTGCTTGGGCATGTGCAGGAGACAACCAATCAGTCTGTTTCTCTCACATTGATACTTATCTCTGTCTTTCCCTCTCTCTTCCACTCTCTCTAAAAATCAATGGAGAAATATCCTCAGGTGAAGGTTAAAAAAAAAAAAGTAAATGACCTGTACTCTTCAAAAATTTCAATGTCATGAACAACAAAGACTGAGGAACTGTTACAGATTAAAGGAGATAGACATGTTATGTATGCTCCTGGATTGAATCCTGGACTAGAAAAATTGTTCTTCTTTTGCAATAGAGTAGAACAATTGGTAAAATTTGAATATGAGCTGGAGATTATACAATCCTATATAATAAAGAAGTGATATGCAAATTAACTCTCATGCCCTCACAAGATGGCTGCCTACAACCAGGCCGGAAGGGGGGTTAGTGAGAGATGACCAAACGACTGAACAGCAGGCTGCGTGGGGCGACCAGGCTGGCTGGGGGGGCAGTTGGGGGCAACCAGCCAGCAGGGGGGGCAGTTAGAGGTGATTAGGCTGGCAGGGGGGCAGTGAAGGGTGACTAGGCCAGCGGG